TCATCAGTTTTACATTTTAGATCGGATTTTGTTTACTATAGTAGCCTAGGCTATTTTAATTTCTTAATCGGCGTAAGGACTAGAAATTTATTCAAATCAAATCCCCTGCATATTAGCTGTCAAAACATGTACATGACTGCAAAAATTATTATTCAGTTATAAAAAACAAACAAACAAAAACAATCGAATATTGTGCATGTCTATTATCATACAGAAATTGTACCTTTGAATAGTACATATTTGTATCTAAATAAAAATCCATATTAATTAATGTTCTCTTTGATCCCCTCGGGGAGAATCACCCTGTTTTTGTGCTTTTATTTACTAAGTTTTAATTATATATGTTTTTAAACATATCTATATAAACAAAAAATTAATTTTTTTATTAAATATTATAAATTATTATAAACTATAAATGTGAGATTTAAACTTTTTAAAACTATTTGACTTTTTCCGTAAGTGTATATAATCTATCAACGCAATCTCACGGCAATTCGTAACTTTTTGGTTTTGTGGCTAATTCGTATGAATTCATACGATCTAATTTGTACAGTTTAGTACGATTTGCTCATCACCCAATGATGGTTAGGGGTGGGGTTGAGTGCCACGCCTCCTTTTTAAAATCATACATTTTCATACGACTGAACTCGTACAAATTCATACGAATTAGCCACTAAACTGACAAAAAGTAAAATATATATGTTTCCTCATGACATCAGGCTAAATCTATAAGTTACTACTGTAAGAAAATATCAGAATTCGGTACATACTTTCAGTATTACCTTTGCTTGAAATGACCCGATCTAATCCTGTTTACATGAAATAAACCTGCTCCTGAGAAGGTTTGAGCTACCAGACCTGTTGCTATGACAACAACCCTCAGATGAGCTTTGAAGAACGAAACGATCCTGGATCAAACCGTCAATAACCAAATCCAGCTAACTGAGCAATCCACGTACAAAGAACGAACCCCAGAAATTGGACTAGACTGATCAAGTTTCTCTCAGAATCAATCCATAAATGTGAATCATTTGGAAATGTGACTACAATTGTTACCTAATAATTTCATAATCTAACGCAGGAGCATCCTGATGTTTTAAAGCACATCTTAAGCATCCAAATTCTTTGTGAGGTCATTATATTCAGCATGACCACTATCCTGTGAGAATTGGCAACAATTAATAACAATACTTTCGTATTTTAAAATCAATAAGGCAGAAACTATGAGGTCTTCCCATGAGACCCTTTGAGTTGACACGTACATCAGTCATGTATTCAAATGCCAGACACTGAAAATGGGACATAAACCCATCCAATCAAAAGTAATCATAATACTGTCACAACCACTTTTCCCCATTAACTGTATATCAACCAATTATTATATATTATAAAAATGCCAGAATGGAAAACTATAACCAAAATAAATAAATAAAATAAATTCAATGTCAAAAGACACATCATAGAAACTATACAATGCACAAATGAGTGAAAACAAAAGGATGTGAGGTCTTTAAAAAAGTCCCACTCTGAGATTTATTTCTACACTTTCTCAGATATCCCGATTTCATGTTTGTACGTCTTGAAGAATCACGGCTTCAGAGACATTGTTCAATGGCGATTGCGTTCCTTGCTGCACTAATATAGTGCAAAATAACGCCTGGAACCAGAGTGGGACTTCCAGGAGAACATCATCTGTCTTGTTTTCACCTTCCATAGAAAGGCTGCATCTTCTTTGAGCAAATATTGTCCGTGGTGAAACTGTTATGTGAGGTTTTCTTGCACGTTCTTCACTGTGTGGTATGTTTTTGGCATTGTCTATGATGTAAATCTCTCCAAAAACGTGAATCCTCTCTGTCGGGAAGCACAAGTCGGAAGAACGTTGCTCCGATAAGGTCTTAGTGAGAAGTCTGAGCCGTCTTGAGAGACCACTAGCTTGACCGCAGTTTGCATAATTGACAAATATACTTGTAAGGAACTGATGTAAAGAAAGGCTTGATCCCACAGCGAGTGGAGATGCGTGTAAAGGCTCTTCCAGAACAAGAACGTGAAGTAAAAACAGAAAGCATGACGGTGATTTTCCTCTTGGATGTTTCATCTTTGAAGTTGGATTCAAGCAGGGTTTGTGATGGTTAGGCATTTTCTCATTTAAAGGAACATTTGAGTGAATCTCATTAAAAAGAACATGTCCTGGTGTCTCATTTATACATATATGAGGTGTGCGCACAAGACAGGGGTGTAAATGTGTGTATGCCACTTCCCAAGCAAAGGTTGTTATCTATAAAAATAAACTTAATTTGAATCCCTCGAGCCTCAAAGCCACAATAATGTGATGCGAGTCACATGACATAATCCACTGAATCTGAATCTTTGATGCGATATCCATACCAAAGAGCATAGAATCACCAAGAGGCGACACTCTAGTGCGATTTTAGAAAACAGCCACTAGATGGCGGCGGCCATTTTGGAATGAAAGTTCCAATAGAACAAAAGCATATTACAAGTCTGTAAATTAAACTATTAAAAGTGCTGATGATTGCGATAGTAAGTGTTGTATTGTTGTCTTTCAGGTTGTATCTGAGCTTTAATGTTAAATTAATAAATGAAAAATAAAGCAGCTGCTTGTCATTGTGACAGCAATAAGATCCAATGGACAGCCGACCGTTTTCACTCCAATATGGCGGAATCCGGGGCTGTTGCTGGGCGCTGCTGTTGCAAGGGAACGTTCTATTAAGTGTCGCCTCTTAGTCATTCTAAGCTCTTTGTCCATACTGAGTAATGCTGTGGGTCGAAAAGAGCAAGAAGGCAGAAAAGGCAGGCAGTGGCATCATTATCGCAAAATATTAAACATATGTTCAAAAAGACTGCCAAACAGGGTAAGGCTAAAGTTACTTCCTAACAGATGATAATCTGCACCTATCCATGAGGTTCTAGGTTAACTGGCCGCATTAGCCGCATTAGCTAAATATAGGACGTCCTATATTTATTGACTTGTCCTTTCCCTATTTTTGCCACTATTTTTTTAAAGAAATGTCCGATGAAGGCTTTAATGGCAATCGCAGTCCTCAGCTGTCAGATGTCACTAACTTTTATTACAGAGCCTAACTTTTATTCTAAATCTTGGACCTTATTTCTGAAATAAAAATGAGCAATAAAAAGGTGTGAAGCACCAGAAGTGGACCATATTAAATTAATTTGAATATATTTTAGCTATTGTTGATATCCATGAATTTTTAAATGTACAGTACTTTTTTTACCAAAGAGGCTAGAAAAATTCCGAGGAATTCATTATTATTGTATTAATATTATTATTATTAAACATGTTTAATTTTTTTTATTTTTATTGAAACGGCCAAATTGTGACAGAGGACAGTTGAATGTGCTGGCCAGTTTGTTTTTTGTCTAATAAATGATAGTATTACTTGAAAACTTTATCAGATTGCTATTTTTTCCTAATAATATATGATGTAATAAATTAGCATTTTAAAAATTTGTTTTGTTTTATTTTTTTATTTGCAATTTTTTTAGGAAATATTTTTCGTGCATCAAAAAGTGCAGTTATGATGACATCTGACTAGCTAATCCAGCAAAAAAATGTCACTAAAATGCAGTATTTAAATCATAAAACTGCAAAAATGTCCACTTTTTAACAAAAAACAACCACCCCTTTCACCAGGCTGGGCGGGCCTGTATTTACAGTTGCACCCAGAATAAACACAATTAACTTAAATATTGACTTAATTTAACTGCTTAAAGCCCACATTTTTTTTTCGTATTGTGACGCAGTTCCTTGAGAAACGGCTGGAGGGGTGTGGTTAAGTATGTTAGCCACGCCCAAAACCTCAGACAGACGTAATCTGACAACTTAACTGAAAACAATCAGGAAGTGCATTTTCAGATACTAATTTTATATTACAAGAGCAAACTGTTTTTTTCTAAATGACATGCGCAGATGAAATGTTCCCCACAAAACTAGCAGTGCGAGCTAACAAAATCAATAGTTTTGATTTCGAGTGCACTTTAAAGTCATCATGTGAGCCATAGCCATAAATAATAAAAAAATTATTAAAATTATTAATTATTTTGGTGTATGTACGCAAAGTTTTATAAATGACACATTGGGCTACTTCGTCACAAAAACAAAATGGTTAAATTTTGTGGTATTGACCTTATTCTTCACGTACGAGCGGGCGCAGCCACTGCAATCGTTTTGGCTTGAGACTTCGTCTCATTCACTTCCATTGACTTTCAGATGTTAAAAACTGGAATTGCCACAGCGGAAAGAACCGCCAACTTGTCCATCATATGATTTACACAGCGGATGCCCTTCCAGCTGCAATCCAGTATTGGGAAACACCCATATACTCTCACATTCACATTGTGCATACATTTGATTAGTCAGTACTGAAGCCAAATCTAGAGCTTATCAAACAAAATAACTTGCAATAATGGTCCAAAATTAGTACACCCAAATGTATATGTTATAAAAAATATAAAATACAAATTTAAAAAGAGAATAAATCAAGAAAAAAATAAATAAAAATTTGGTTGCAATTTTGTAGATTGCTTTTTTTTTTTTTGCAATATTTTGCTTCAATTTCAATTTCTACATATGTTTGGTGACTATAATATAATTTTAATAAATATATCTGTTAAATAAATCTGTTTTGTCCAAGTGCACCAAATTACATTGCCTATATCCACTGAGAATTGGAGAAAAATAGTAATTTTCAAAATGTTCTGTACTCAATTACGCTGAGCACTGTACACTAAGGCCAATTTAGCTTACCCAATTCACCTTTAGCACATGTCTTTGCACTGTGGGGGAAAGCGGAGCACCCAGAGGAAACCCACACCATCATGGGGAGAACATGCAAACTCCACACAGAAATGCCAACTGGCCCAGCCGGGACTCGAACCAGCGACCTTCTTGCTGTGAGGCAAGATCTACTGAGCCACCGTGTCACCCCAAACTGATATTTTCTTATTATATTATTATTCTTTTCATGTATAGTCATGAACACACTTGTTTGTAGAGCAAGTGGTTTGACCGTGTTTTGCCATTTATTATTTCTAGTCTTTTCTCTCATAGGCAGCTGGAATGAATCAACAGAAACGAGTGCACTTCCGCATTGCAGAATAAGATCAGTAATATTAGCTGGACATGTTTTTGTTCATGAGATTCACCCCTCTGTTATTGATGTTTTTATGACGGTAGTTCTCCAGTAAGGGCTACATGTCCACATCGCCATCGTACGCCAGGGTCAGGGGTTTCAGTCGATTATTGTTTTGTCTTCGCTGAGGTTTCTTTGGCTTTTTGCTGAAGACAAAAGAACAATATCAAAATATTATAATCAAATTCAAGGTAATAATTCTTTACTCTGTGAGTGTATCAATACATTCTAATTCAAGGGGACCTAATATGCCTCTTTTTACAAGATGTTAAATAAGTCTCTGATGTCCCTAGAGTAAGTATGTGAAGTTTCAGCTCAAAATACCCCACAAATATTGTTGTAAAACTCTTTAAAACTGCCCCTTTTAGACTTTGATCCAAATTATGCTGTTTTTAATGACTGTCGCTTTAAATTTAAATGAGATGGTGCTCTTTTCAAAAGAAGGCGGAGCTACAAATGCCTGTGTGTCAGCATAGTGGCAGATTCAAAAACAAGACTAATGTCCCAAGCCTGGGGTGTCCAAACTCGGTCCTGGAGGGCCGGTGTCCTGCAGATTTTACCTCCAACTTGCCTCAACACACCTGCAGAGATGTTTCTAGAAAGCTTAGTAAGAGCTTGATTAGCCAACCCAGGTGTGTCTGACTGGGGTTGGAACTAAGCTTTGCAGGACACCAGCCCTCCAGGACCGAGTTTGGACACCCCTGTCCTAAGCTAATGAGGGAGAGATTGTTACTAATGGGCGGGGCTTTCCTCCTCAGATGACGTGTACAAATGGAGAACGTCCATCAAAGTGTGTCTGCAGACTGTTTTTATGAAATTAGATTAAAAATATAATAATTAATAAACTTTTACCATTAGAAGCTGGTTATATTCCCACACTGCCGCCACACAACTGTGTTTAAACCTTTTATAAAAGTGATTCTTGCATAATAGGTCCCCTTTAACACTATGTATTATTCAAACACATTCTGTACATACTATTAAATATGCATATGGATAATATGACATGATACAACAAATTAAATAATGAAGAATAATGTATAAAATCAATAACTGAAAATGATGATGATGATAATTATGAATATTTCAGTAAAATATCCAAAATATGTTTGAAAAAAGTCATCCTATTTAAAAGCATTGCGAGTTGCCCTCACAGCAGAATTTCCGAGAAGGGTATAAACGGAGGTCGGAGCCAGCTCCAAGTGGGTGGGCCTTGGAGCTCCAAGTGGGCTGTGCAAACCTTATTTAGTCATATTTAGAGTTCAATATTGTACTTTATGAATGTGTACATCTAACCCTAAACCCAACCTCACAGTAACCTGATGAACCCAACCTGTGGTTTAAGTCTCTCCCACTTGCAGGTCTCCGGGCTGCAGCGATACCTACTTGGAATTTCCAGGCATGACGGATAAAAATTCTGTTCAAGTAGTAGGAAACTATAAACTTGATATTATAAACATTATTATAAACTCATTATAACCTTAAATTATAAACTCAATTCTAATTTATACAGCAATGATAACTAAACCTGCACTTATGTAGTTCTAAATAATATTCTTAATGTAAAATACAACTAATAATAACTTGAATTCTAGTTGATCATTTGGAAAAATGGCAGAAGATAGAATTTTCTGATGAATCATCTGCTGAACTGCATCCCAATCGTCACAAATACTGCAGAAGACCTATTGGAACCCGCATAGACCCAAGACTCTCACAGATATCAGTCAAGTTTGGTGAAAGAAAAATCATGGTTTGGGGTTACATTCAGTGTGACATTCAGACATTCAGGGTGTCGAAGACGAATCCAAAGAATCTTGATGAACTCTGGGAGTCCGGCAAGAACACTTTCTTTGCCATTCCTGACGACTTTATTAATAAGCTATTTGAGTCATTGCAGAGATGTATGGATGCAGTCCTCCAAGCTCATGGGAGTCACACACAATATTCATTCTTTTTCCACTGCAGCATGACTTTATATTCTATACTGAACATTATTTCTGTTAAGTGACAAGACTTTTGTAAAGTCAAAGTCAGACATTACTGTCCTAATTAAATAATTAAAAATCAAGGCATGATCATATTTTATTTTGGTAAAATAAGCGTAATCTAGAGGCCTGCGCCTTTCATATTAGCCACTTCTGATACCAAATGATCAACTAGAAGTCAAGTTATTACATGTTGTTCCTAAAACTTGGATAGGCGACAAGACTTTTGTCAGGTAGTGAGTAAATCTTCATTCTAAAAGTAAGTTTAGCAAGAGCTTGTTTTGATATCCATTACTAAACCAGTAAAACACAAACACCGTACCCAGCCAGCTGGATGTATTTAGCATGAGAAGGTAAAGGCACAGACTGAGACCAAGGCACCGGGTCGAGGATGCAGGACGTCAGGAGCCGGTTTCTCCAGCTTTTAACTGGATCTGGACCCTTGACTCTCCTGCTGGCACTCAGGACAGGTGTATGTCAGCTCATGGGCATCTTGGCCCATCCACACTACTGTACCGTTGGCAGAATCAGGCGTACCAAGTGACCGCCGGATGGCACAGTAACTGCTGCTCATGGTGGCATGGATGGTGGGATGTGGGTGATAGAAAAAAAAACAAGCCAAATGAATGCATGAAGTAAATGAGAAATGAAAATGAGGGATGATGAAAGAGATGGAAAGGGATGTTGTTCTTACCATGCGAGGTAAATCATCGACACTATAAATACCAGGAGGACAAAAACACCTGCCGCCACACCGTATACCCACGTCTTCAGCTTCCCATCTAAAGAGGACAAATATTTTTATCTGTTTTTAGCTTAGGACATAAAGCACAAGCACAGGTGAAATCAAAATTATTAGCCCTCTTTTTCAGATTTTTCAGATGTTTTTCAAATGATGTTTAAAAGAGTAAGTATTTTTTTTATGTCTGATAATGTTTTTTCTTCTGGAGAAAGCCTTATTTGTTTTATTTCAGCTAGAGTGAAAGCAGTTTTGAATTTTTTATAAACTATTTTAAGGTCAATATTATTAGCCCCCTTAAGCTATATTGTTTTTTTTTTTGATTGTCCACAGAAAATAAAACACTTTTATACAATGACTTGCCTAATTACCCTAGTTAAGCCTTTAAATCTCATTTTAAGCCGTATAGTAGTGTCTTGATTAATATCTAGTCAAATATGATTTACTGTCATCAGATAAAATAAAGTTATTAGAAATAAGTTCTTAAAACTATTGTGTTAAGAAATGTGTGGAGAAAAATATTTAGGGGGGCTAATAATTCTGACTTCAACTGTATATTGCAAAAGTGAAACTGGTGTTTTAGCACATCATCTTATAAAAGATTTATAAAATTAGCTTTAGATTAATACTGAAATATAAATGTAGAAATAACTAAAAGAACTAAAATGTATGGAAGCTTGCTTCTGCTACAGAATTCAAAAACGTTTCTCTATTATATTTCACAAATCTGAGTTTTATTCTTATTGATGCAAGTTTAGAGTTTATGCCCAAAACTTTTTTTTTTCTTCACAATTTTGAATAGTTTAGATCTTGAATCCCTCAAGATCTAGTTTAGATTTTTGAATCTGAGTTTTTATATATTTTTTTATTCTCATGGAATAAAAAAAAAATACTTAGTCAAATTTTAAGTTACAAACTTGTTACAAATAGTTACAAAGTGAACATCTCACAATTCTGACCCTATTTCTCTCAGCATTGTGAGATAAAAAAAAGATTATTGCTGTATTATTATATTGAACAAAATGTGTAATAATTATAGACTAATGTTGCTCACAGTGCTTATATCCTCCGGAAAAAAGACAATTAAAAAAATCTTACTTGGTTTTTATTGACAGAACCAGTATGAAACTAAATTTTGAGTTGGGCTACAAACATATTTAATCCGTGGTACAAACATGTGATTTAGTTTCAGCATATTATGTGACACCTTAGCTGAGACGCTTTCATAAACACAAATGCATTCATGAGTTAACTTGGCTAAAAATGAGTTTAATTTTTTTAAGTTTCTCTTAAAACTACAATTAAATCAGCTATATTTTAGAGATACTGGACTAAAATGTTTTTTTTTCTTCTTCTGGAGAAAGTATAGTATAAAGAGCTCAAATTTTAACAATTGTTTTGAGTTTATGCCCAAAACTTTTTTATTCTTTACAATTTTGTCTAGTTTAGATCTAGTTTAGATTTCTGAATCTGACCGAGTTTTTAAACTTTTCTTAAAATTCTGAGAGAAAACAAAAGCTTTTTCTCAAAAACCATCCTTTTTCACAATTTTCTATGTCAGAATTTCGACCTTTATACCTCGGCGTTTATTCTCAGAGATTTGGATTAATATACCATAATTGTTTTTCCATCATGGAATAAATCAATTTAAAAGACTACTCACAGATTTGTTACACAAAGTTAAAATCTCGCAATTCTGACTCCATTTCTCTCAGAATTATAAGAAAATCATTATTGCCTTCATATTTTGTTTATGAATAAATCTTGAGGAACAAAATGTGTAATAATTCTAAACTTGTGTTGCTCACAGAGCTTGTATTTTCTGCAAAAACAGCCAAAAGCAATAAAAATAAATATTCCAATTGGGTTTTCCTGGAGGGAACCAGGATGAAACTAAATACTGAGCTGGCCTACAAACATATTTAATCCAGTGGTAGAAACCGCCATGTGCCACCTAAGCAGAGGGAAGCTTTAATGAAAACAAAAATGCTATTCAAGTTTGAAAGCCAGATTTGGTCTGTTGTTCGCTCCAGTTTCTTTCACCCGAGGCAACTGGCCGAAATTAAGCACATTTTATCACACAAGCACTTTGAAACAGTAAACCATGCCTTTGTAACCACCCACCTGGACTACTGTAATGCAATTCACATTGGGGTGAGTCAGTCCTCTATTTCTCGACTGCAACTTTGGTCAACTGTGTTGTTTTAAAGTGCAATATAAATAAAACTGAATTGGAAAATAATTTAAGTGAAATTCACAATTATTCGCCCTTCTGTGAATTCATTTGTCTTTTTAAAAATATTTCCAAAATGATTATTAATAGAGCAGGGAATTATTCACAGTATTTCCTTTAATATTTTTTCTCCTTATTTGTTTTATTTTGGCTAGAATAAAAGCAGTTTTAAATTTTGTAAAAACTATTTTATATTCAATATTATTATTATTATACTATTATGTTATTATATCGTTCTCTGTTTTGATTATATATTTTTATTTAGCTTTTTCAAAAGTTAACAATACAGAACATCAAAACAAAGCAGCAAACAGACTAAAGTAAATCATACACAGTATAAAAAATAAGTAAAATACAAATAAATAAATAAAAAAGGGTGGAGATAATAGGTAATAATAATAGGAGTATAAAACCAGTGGAAAAGAACTATCTTGTCAAATTTAAATCAAGTGGTACTGTTTTAAATTTATTCCAAAATTGATTCCAAATCTTTTTAAATAATTCACCCTTTCCTCTCAAAGAATATGTGATCTTCTCCAATGGGATACAGTTGCAAACTTCTGAGATCCACAGTCCAATTGGTACATCAATGTCTGTTTTCCATTTTAAAGCAATGCATTTTTTTTTAGCTATTGTCAGCAATATTTCAGTGAGTTTAATAGCATATTTATGCTGGAGGTTACAATTTGTAAACTATTCTCTGTTAAACAGAAATCGGGGAAACGTGTATTTGCTAACAGAAGTGAAACACGTTTACCTGCTCCAAAAGGCTGTAAGTACCACGTGCGTCCGACGCGTCCAGGCTGTACAGTGGTGGGCAGGGTGGGATTGATAGCCCGGCTGGTCTTCACATCAGCCTTCTTGTCTCCAGCAGTGGGGATTTCCAGCACAGGAATGGGTGCGCACTGCTCCAGCGCTCCCTCGGTGGTGAGCACTTCAGTAAAGCCCTCCTCGCACATACACACGGCCTCCTGCAGAGGGCAGCAGAGGAACACAAACACACATCATTCAATCTGCATCCGCTTCTGACCCAATTCACAGCTTATGGAGCCTTTTTATATAAAGCGTGATGACACATTTACACTGTTATCAACTTCACACATTTATAACACTATACTGAGTTTTATTACCTTGCCATTAAGTTACTGAAAATCGTGTCAGTGCTGCTGATGTATTATGCAATAGCTAATGGAGAACATTTGTCTTTCTCTCTTCAGGCTAATGTTATTAAGTTATACATTTTTCCTTTTTTGGAAAGACCCAGAAACACTAATGTAGTAATTATATTATATTATATTATATTATATTATATTATATTATATTATATTATATTATATTATGTTATATTATATTATATTATATTATATTATATTATATTATATTATATTATATTATATTGTATTATGTTATATTATATTATGTTATATTTCATTATGTTATATTATATTATTTTATATATTATATTATATTATATTATGTTATATTTTATTATGTTATATTTTATTATGTTATATTATATTATATTATGTTATATTTTATTATGTTATATTATATTATATTATGTTATATTTTATATTATATTATATTATGTTATATTTTATTATGTTATATTTTATTATATTATATTATATTATATTATATTATATTATATTATATTATATTTTATTACGTTATATTATATTATATTATATTATATTATATTATATTGTATTATATTGTATTGTATTATATTATATTATATTATATTATATTTTATTATGTTATATTGTATTATATTATATTATATTTATTTTTGGCATTAAGACAAATGATGATGCAAGAAAAATGGGTCATTATCACTATAAAGTGCTTTTGATGTCCCACAAGTTTGAGTCAGTCCTATATGAACACAATGCCAAATAATGAAATTCTTGTGACCTTTACACACATGCAGGTAGAATTATAAATGTTTTGAAATATGTTGTCAATTTTAGCCGTATTCTTTCATTGAATGGATGTGATTTTGCCATGACCCACGCACTGCTCAGCCAACTTCAGTGAGTCTAAAAAGCAAGTCAATCGAATAAAATGAAAAATATTTTAAATATTCTTATTGTCTTTAAGTTATTTGATCAAATAAGTCATTTTGATAACTTTTATTTTGTTTTCATAATATTATTTATCATTTTGCACGTGTCCTTGAAATTGTTGTCCCCCCTGTCATGATGTGGTAAATGCAGAGATGCATGGATGCAGTCCTCCAAGCTCATGGTGAGTCATACATAATGTTCATTCTTTTTCCACTGCACCATGACTTATATTTTATATTGTACATTATTTCTGTTCAGTGACAAGACTTTTTTCTGAGCGAAGTCAGACCTTACTTTCCTAATTAAATAATTAAAAATAAAGGCATGATTATATTTTATTTTGGTAAAATAGGCATAATCTAGAGGCCTTAGCCTTTCATATTAGCCACTTTTTATACCAAATGATCAACTAGAAGTCAAGTTATTATCTTTTTTTCCTAAAACTTTAATAGGCAACAAGACTTTTGTCAGGTAGTGTATAAACACCAGAAAGGTCCGACCCTTCTTATCTGAACATGTTCAAGCTCTTGTTCTCTCCAAACTGGATTACTGCAACTCTCTACTAGCAGGGCTTCCAGCTAACTCTTTCAAGCCTCTTCAGCTGCTCCATAACGCAGCAGCACGAGTGGTCTTTAATGAACCTAAAAGAGCACATGTCACTCCGCTGCTCATCCGTTTGCACTGGCTGCCAGTTGCTGCTCGCATCAAATTCAAAGCTCTGATGTTTGCCTACAAAGCGACCTCTGGCTTTGCTCCTTCTTATCTGCTCTCACTTCTGCAGATCTATGTGCCCTCCAGAAACTTGCGTTCTGTGAATGAATGTCGCCTCGTAGTTCCATCCCAAAGAGGGAAGAAATCACTTTCCCGAATTCTCTCTGCCCAGTTGGTGGACTGAACTCCCGAACTGCATCAGAACGGCAGAGTCACTCGCTATTTTCAAGAAACGACTAAAAACTCAACTATTTAGTCTCCACTACACTTCCTAATCTGCAATTGTACTCAAAAAAAAAAAAAAATTACCAATGCTTTCCTTCTTAGACTTTACATACCTGAAACTTGCCTATAGCACTTATTCATTGTTGCTCTTATAGTTGTGTAAATTGCTTCCTTGTCCTCATTTGTAAGTCGCGTTGGATAAAAGAGTCTGCTAAATGACTAAATGTAAATGTAAATAAAATATGAATATTTCTTGAACTCTACTGTCAGCATTTGAGAAGTTAAAAGTCAGCAAACTACAGTTATGCTTCATTTAAAGTGAATGTATCCTACACTCAAAAAGACTTTTGCTTCTTATTCAAATTACCTATTTAAAATGAGCTGAAACTACACAATTCATCAGATTTTGTTTGGGAAAACTTAATTGTTTTATGTGCAATACACTTAAGATTAGTTAAATTGAGTTTAAATGGATTTGTGTGGGGAATTGTGTGTAACCTTGCTTTGTTTACAGAATAACAGAATAATTTTTTGTTAACACTTCACAGTAAGGTTACATTAGTTTATGTTATGCAATGTATATTTACTAACATGAACAAACAGTGAGCTTATGTCCACATTATTTTAGCAGCAAAGCTTGAATCACAAAGACTGAAAGAGTTGTCAGAAACCTAATCGTGGTGACTGTGAAGACGTGTAAACCTGAACACTTGGTTTCTTTATCTTTAGTTTTTTACCTCTATCAATAGTAATTAGCCTTTAAAAAAAATGAAACTAAAAAAATTATAATAATAAAACTAAAAATAATAATAATAAAACTAATAATAACAATAATAATAATAAAACTAATAATAATAATAAAAGTAATAATAATAAAACAAAAAAAATAATAATAATGATAAAAGTAGTAATAATAATAATAAAAGTAATAATAATAATAATAAAAACCTAATAATAGTAATAAAAGTAATAATAATAATAAAACAAAAGATAAAAAATAAAACTAATAATAATAAAAGTAATAATAATAATAATAATAATAATAAAAGTAATAATAACAATTAAACAAAAAATAAAACTAATAATAAATAATAATAATAAAAGTAATAATAATAATAATAATAAAAGTAATAATAATAATAAAAACCTAATAATAATAATAATAATAATAATAATAATAAATAATAATAATAATAAAACAAAAAAATAAAAGTAATAATAATAATAAAAGTAATAATAATAATAATAATAATAAAAGTAATAATAATAATAAAAACCTAATAATAATAATAATAATAATAAAATAATAATAATTATTATAAAACAAAAAAATAAAAGTAATAATAATAATAATAAAAGTAATAATAATAATAATAATAAAAGTAATAATAATAATAATGATAATAATAATAATAATAATACATTTACATTAAATGTTTGTGAGCACACAGTATAATAAAGACAAACTTGTGCTGCTCACAGAGCTTATTTTTCACAATAAGAGTCAATAGAAAAAAAATCATACTGGGTTTTCCTTGAGGGAACCGGGATAAAACTGAATTCTGAGCTGGCCTACAAAAATACACCGTCCCTGCAGCACATTATTGACCAAGAAAATAAACGTCATCACCAAACCCTTAAGTAAAGAGCAAATTTACAAACTCCTGCTCTTCCTTTGCACAAGAAATTGCAGTTAAAAACCGCCTCAAGCATTGCACACCATTAAAAAACATTCCCTGATGTTATTTTACTTGAACAGCCATGTTTTAATAAGCACATTCTCCAATCCTAAAATGGTAACACTTTGAAATAACGGTCCATTAGTTAATGTACTGTAAGCTAATGTAATTACTAACATGAACAAACAATTAGTAATACATTTATTACGATATTTATCCATCTTTGTTAACATTAGTGTTAAGTTAAACAACGCTAGTTCAGGTTAACTCACGGTGCATTATCTAATGTTAATGAGCCACACTTTAGATTTTAATAATGCATTAATGTTGAACGATGATTAATAAATGCTTTACAAGATCATTTATAATTAATGTTAGTAAATACATTAACTGGACAAATTTGACAGTATGATGAACCACGATTGTCATCTCCTTTTTTAAACAGTCCAAGCATGTGCAAGCTCTTTTAGCTCAAGATTACTTCAGTCCTGGGGTCCGTTCTTCGTACCTCGCTTAAATGATCTAAGATTATTTGGCAGATCCTGGATCTTTTAATCTTGATAACTGATCTCTCGCTAATTTGGTTCTTCAAACAAGTTCGCGAATGAGATTAGAATGTCTGGATAAACTGATCTGAGATCGCTGCGTGTGTATTGAAGGACAGATCTATCGATCCTCGAAATCATGATCAGCAATGCAACGATTGGCTGACGGCACAGCAGCGTAATGACATCATCTGATTAATATTCAATTATCCATGTGAGCAAAATTACATCAAATCAGCAGTAAACGGTTTTTTAAATATGACCCGCAATAACCTTCCACATTTGTTGTGAGCTGCAGGCTTTACACTGTCATGTGTCAAGAGTATTCATCATGTATTTCAATGCATATCAATGTATTTAGTTCTACATTCAGAAAAGATTTTCTTTATTATAGTAGCCGTTTTTTTAATCGGTGTAAAGAATAACTGGATGTTTACAAAAGCATTTTGATATTGGTAAAGGCGTCTGCAACTATTGTGAAGCATCAAATCACTGGCATATTAACTATCAAAACATGTTTATGACTGCATAAATGTATTATTGCTTTAAAAAAAAGTCACATATTGTGCATGTTTATTATACACAAGTTGTACTAAGCGATCTAAAAAGTTCATATCAATAAGTTTTCTCTGTGCAGCACCAGGTGACAGTCTTTGTACTTCATTTCGAGAGTGCAGATTGCATACGTTTTATTAATATGTATAACTTTATTTATTTTATTAATAACTATAACTTATATATATATATATATATATATATATAGATACATAGTTTAGAAAATATTTACTCTTTTCCCAAGTGTATATAACTACTACTGTAAGAAAATATCAGAATTCGGTACATACTTTCTGTATTTTCTTTGCTTGAACTGAGCCGATCTAATCCTGTTTATATAAATTGAACCTGCTCCCGATCAGGTTTGACCTAGCAGAACTGTTGCTATGACAACAACTCTCGGATCAGCTTTGAAGAACGAAACGATCCTGGATCGTGTCAAATCGTCAATATCCAAATCCAGCTAACTGCGTAATCCACGTACGAAGAACGGACCCCTGGTGTTCCAGGGAACAAACAGGAAGTCATTTTTACCAACAGTGATCAGATAATAACCAAAGTCATACGAGATGAAATATGCTGAATTGAATTGGCTAATAATTTTAACCTTAAAATGGTGCAAAAAAATTAAAAACTGCTTTTATTCTCGTTGAAATAAAACAAATAAGACTTTCTCCAGAAGAAAAAAAAACAATTATAAGGAAACTTTCACAGTATTTCCTAAACATAATTTGGGAAATACTCAGGAAATTCATAGGAAGGCGAATCACTCTGACTTCAACTGTAGATCAAGAAAATCTAAGCAAAGGTACAGCTCACGACTTTGATTTTGTGTTACATCCATTATGATAATTGCAGCTAGAGCGACAGTCAGCAGTCACAGACACGCAGAATTACAGTAATCCCACAATCCTCTTGTGTCTTACCTCTGAGCAGAATGACTGTGGTTTGTCACAGAGTGGATCACATGACTGGTCGGCCCCTGGTAATAGAGCTGAAGGGCATCCGCCTGCAACAAATCACAGACTAGGGATCAATTGCAAGCTTCAGACAAAAACTCAAATAATGAGCCAAACTCTGATTGATTCGCACTAAACAACCCTCACTCTAAACCATTCAAGAGTGTTACTTCCTACACTCAAAAAGTGATCCAGCTGCTTGTTTAAACTACTTATTTAAGATGAGTTAAAACAACACAGGTGGCACGGTGGCTCAGTGTTTAACACTGTCACCTCAGAGCAAGAAAGTTACTGGTTCGAGTTGTGGCTGGGCCAATTGGCATTTCTGTGTGGAGTTTGCATGTTCTCCCCGTGTTGGCATGGGTGCTTGAGTTTCTTTTACATTCCAAAGACATGCGCTATAGGTGAATTGCATAAACATAATTGGCCGCAGTGTATGTCTGTGAATGAATGTGTATGGGTGTTTCCCAGTACTGGGTTGCATCCACTGTGTAGAACATATGGGTTAGGGTTAGTTGGTGGTTCATTCTGTTGTGTCAACCCCTGATGAATAAAGGGAGTAGGCGTTGGTTTTACGGGTTCGTTCTTTCACTCATGTTTGACAATGCTTTGCTCAGGGTATAAAAAGGAAAGGTAACTGTTGATCGAGGAGAATGGCTTTTACTCTGCTTCTCCCGCACACCGATGCGTACTTAATTAAAATAGTTGCGGTAAAAATACCCTAACTCAGGGGTTCACAACTGGTTTGGCCATGGGACCCACATTTTTACATTGTCATCAAGCCGCGACCCAAATTTTTAAGAACTATAATACAATTTTAGGAATTATAATTCATTTAATTAAATTAACCTCACTACACATGACACTGAGGCTTTAAGACTTTTTTGTCATCAATATATTTTAATCCATACTTTACATATTTGGGGTCGTACTTGCGCTTTGACATATTTGTTGCCATAATTAAATGAAATTTGACATGTCAAACAGTAGGGTTGTCGTGCACAAATTTCAAAATAAAAGTCCGGTATAAGCAAAATAAGTAAAAAAATTAAACACTTGTTGTTTTTTGATCACACACCCACTAAAAATGTTCCCGCAACCCACTTTTGGGTCGCGACCCACCAGTTGAAAAACACTGCCCTAACATATAATCTAACTATAAGTTATTATACTGCAGCACCTTCCCAACTTGGAACCAGTATTGGGTTATTTTGATTAAATGTTATTTTTTCCATTCTGGGATTATTATTGCTACTATTACTAGCACTATTATTAATTTTATAATTATGGCTGTGTAAATAAATAACAGTTTTCTAAAAAATATTAAAAATGCTTTCTCTCCATTACATTAAGTTCCAGACACGCTTGTTAAAATAAATCAAGAATCACCAACAATAAAGAAGCAAAGTAAAGACAGCTATAAACTGTGCAAGCAGGAAATCATGTGTTGATGGAGCTGAATATAGAGCTCTGTGTGCTTTAGAGACTGCCCAACAGCTGGAGCAGGCTTCAGTCAGTGTAATTAAATAATATTATTAAATAAATAACCCAATAAAGGTTAGAAATTACCCAACGAAGCACCAAATATGTTTAACTTAACCATTGGGTTAAATGAATAACTCAACATTTTGTAGAGTGTAGCCTCATATGCTAACAAAGGCAAAGCAAAGTCTTTGTTGCAGTTCATATGTTACAGCTATATTCTCTGTACAGTATGTTAGTTTTTTTCATTCTACTGTCTGTATATTTGAACACATAACTTAATAAACAATGCTTTAAGGCGTTGAGATTCTTTCTATTTACCAATGATGATAACAACGTTATTGGAGTCAGATTAATTACAATGGAGTCAGATAAATAATTGATTAAAACACGTTATACTTCACCAGCTTTCTGTTTCCGATTATTGGTTCAGAATAGCAGCGTAAGCTTCAAGCCTTATAGGTTATTTTAAGAGCATAACTCCCAAGATTAACGAGGGACCACTGTATACAATTATTGACTTAGAGCTTAAAACTGCTGCTACACTTTATGTTCATATTTAATAATGTGATGAAAATAATTTAGATTTTTATGGAAATGTATGGAAGTATTTACTATAGTTTATTTATCTGTACACATCATTTTAAAGAATTTGTGTGCTCTTAATAATCTAACTTCCTTCCCCTTTTAATGACATCTCGGTAACACTTTATAATAACTACACACTATAAATCATTTATTAAGCATTAGCAAATAGTGAATTCATTATCTGTTAAGCATTAACTCTACAATAATAAACGTTAGTAAGCAGTTTATAACTGCAGCTACAAATGCTCTATTCTTGACCTATAACCACATTTATAATGTGAATAATAATTGTATTTTCATACTTAATAAATTATTAATTTTTCATTACTAAATTAAGTATCGCATTATTTACAAACCAGTTGTATTTAGGAGTAGTTGTGGGATTTTAGGATCATTCAGAATGAGTTAGTAAATGATTAATAAACTATTGAAATCAACGATTATATGTCTTATCATTCAGGCATATACTAATAGTCAACTAATATGTTAATAAATGCTTTATTAACTCAACTTCATGCAGTTTTGTGACCTAATCTAAAGTTAGGACTATTCATGCTTTATAAATCCCTTATAAATGACAAATAAAGGCTCAGAATCAATTGAACTATAATCTTTGCAATCTTTTCTAAAATGTAAAATTACTGTAAAGTTTAAACATTGCTGAATAACAGGAGTGTCAAAATACAACAAAACTGGATAAAACAACAATATAATAATTAAACAATGTAATAAAATGTAATGTTTAAACTCTACAGTGATTTTATTTTAGATCAGGTTGCATAAATTTATTTTTTATTTGAAGTACAGTTTCATTTGTGTACCTTTAATTGAATAGCAATGAATAATGTCATTTTTCCTGTTTAGAATTTAACTGAGCCTTTATTTGTCATTTAAAAGGGATTTCAAGAGTTCACACTTAGCTGATGATTGATTATAAGCAAGTTTGGCATGCTGTCCCGGGAGAGAGCCCTGAGCTCGAAGGTTCTTGAGCCCTGGGCTCCCTCCCGTTTGGAGGAAGAGAGGGGAGCCTCGAGCTCAGGTAGATCTCGACAACTCCCCTTATTATAATAGCTAAAGATTAAGATTGAAGGCTATTAAAAGATATGCTGCATTATTAGATTACCTGTATTGATATTTAGATTTAACGATTAACTTGTTGTACATGTTTTTGGAATGTGGGAGGAAACCGGAGAACCTGGGGAAAACCCACGCAAGCACGGGAAGAACATGCAAACTACACACAGAAACAACCACCGGCCTGTTAAGGAACTAGAACCGGTGACGTTCTTGCTGTGAGGCGACAGTGCTAGTCACTGAGCCACGTGCTGCCCTATGGAGGGAAAGGTGAAAAGGTAGGGGTGGAAGGGGGGATTCTTCAAATCGAAGATGACTGTAGTGAGAAAACCCTGGCTCTTTATAGTGGTTAGGAATGGCCTGATTGGTGGATCAAGCATGCTAATGCAGAACCAGCCGTGTTCAATCATAATCAGGTGCTCCTCTCGAAATTAGTTTATGAATAAACTTCACTTATAAAGCCTAAATAGTCCTCACTTTAGATTAGGTCACAAAACTAGGTGAAGTCGAGTTAATAAAGCATTTATTAACATACATAGTAACCATTAATATATGCCTGAATAATAAGACATAAACGTTAATTTCAATAGTTTATTAATCATTTACTAACTCATTCTGAATGATCCTAAAAACCCTCAACTACTCTGAAATACAACTGGTTTGTAAATAATGTGATACTTAATTTAGTAATGAAAAATAAATCATTTACTAAGTATGAAAGTACAATTATTAAGCAAATTTTAAATGTGGTTATAGGTCAAGAATAGAGCATTTGTAGCTGCAGTTATAAACTGCTTACTAACGTTTATTAATGTAGAGTTAATGCTTAACAGATAATGAATTCACTATTTGCTAATGCTTAATAAATGATTTATAGTGTGTAGTTATTATAAAGTGTTACCGACATCTCTTCTCCGATTGGTTCTTGTAACAGTCTATCACATAAGATCCACCAATAGCAAACCACGACCATCTAATCAACTCCGTGTGGACAAAAATCAAGCTTCGCCCTACATTTTGTTTCTTATTCCAGTTTAAATTTAAATATACATCACAAAAAGAAACAAAAAGACTACCACAACCTTTATTTCATGCTGATTAGGAATCTCGTGATATAAAGAATGTATGATATGTGTTAAATAAATGCTGGTTTGCTCTTCTGATCATAGTCTCCTATGTGTTTTCTACTGTGTCATGATAAAACTTCATCTTAAATTATTCAAAAAAAGCACTGAGCTAATTCTTTAATAATTATTATACATGCAGCATTAATGAGCTCATTTATATAGAAGCTACGCAAATGGATTTGTCACACCGCAGGACCATTAAAAATGAGATAGTGAAGGCAGAAAAGCATTTAAAAGTGCTGAAAATCATACAAAACTACAGACTGCTTTAGACATGCATGATCCACAGATATATTATTCCTGTAAAGTACTTTTAACTATGTTTTTTCTTTCATATTCTGATGTATATCAGTGTGAAACAGCTCCTCAAATAGGGGGAAAAGTAGGGCGTGGCTTGAATTTGTCTATAAGAATTCGATTGGATTCATGTAATTTACTATTGGTGGATGTTCCATGACTGACAGGCAGATCCCGCCCCTCTATGTCAGAAAAGAGATGTCGTTGTAGAGGGAGAGGACTACACTTTGATTAAACATTATGAGGACGCATAAATCCAAAAGATGCTTTTTAATAAACATTGCAGCACTCTATACATACAACAGAAGAGTTAATGTTGATTTTACAATGACTTTAGATTACAAGTGGTGTAGTTCAGCACCTGTGACGTTTATTCCATCTGACCGCTGACACCAGACCAGTTGAAGTCCTCCCATCCACTGATAATCATAACACTCACCATCTAGATGCAGAAGAACAGAATAAACAGAAATACACAGCATCATCATCTTTTTTCTTTTTTGTTTTGAAATCTTGAATTGTTTTTAATATTCCGAGCAATTACACTCCCTAGACTAGAGCCTCGTCTGTTTCCTTAAATATCAATTCCTGCTTTCATAGAAAAATCATGTTAAAAACAGAGTATTAAACCTCAGGCTTTTGAGGAATGGTTAATATATGCGTTATGTGGTTTTAACACACAAATACTCAGATCATAAAACAAGAGCATTTAAATATCATTGGGAAATGCGGAGTACATTTCCTAAAACTAAATACAATATATCTGTATATAGTTAAATAAAACACAATACTACAATTAAAATACTGAGGATAATGATTTATTATTTAAATGTTTAAAATTCATTTTAGGAGCACTGACTGTAAATATAATCACGTTAATCTGTCCAACAGCATTCTGAGATATTAATTCATACTGTTCTGATTTGTAAACTACAGTATAAGGCAAGTATGCCCAAACTCAGTCCTGGAGGGCCGCTGTCCTGTATATTGTAGTGCCACCTTTCATATACACCTGAACCAGCTAATCAAGTTCAGGACACCGGCACTCCAGGACCGAGTTTGGACACCCCTGGTATACCCCCTGCCCCCCATCCAAAAAAAGTCATCATTTGCTCACCCTTTACTTGTTCCAAACATATTTGACTTACTTCCCTCAGTTGAACACAAAAGAGGGTGTTTTTAAGAATGCTAAAAACCGGTAACCATTGACTTTTATAGTATTGCTTTTTTGTTTCTATTGTGGAAGTCAATGGTTACAGGTTCTCTTCTTTTGTGTTAAACAGAATAAAGAAACTCATAAAAGTTTTAAACCGCTTGAGGTTGAGAAAATATATATATGTATGTATGTGTATATATATATATATATATATATATATATATATATATATTAAAGAGCCCATATTATGGGTTTTTGAAAATTCCCCTCCATGTAGTGTGTAACACAGCTCTAAGTGAAGTGAAGTATCCAGCTAAGGCTTAAATCTGTTAGAGTACAGTGTTTAAAACTGTTGATTCATCTATAAAAGAGTCGACTCATAGTGCTTCAAACGAGTCGCCTTGATACCGACTCATTAGGTGTTTCGCCATGACGTACGAACGAAACAAAGTTTTTCACGTGCACGCGCAAACCCGGGAGATTTCAAACCTGAGGCCCCGCCCTCTGACGCAGTAACCCAGACACACACACACACCCACAAACACACGCACACCCACAAACACACACACACAAACATGCCGGTCGATTGAAGTCACACTGCAGATGGATATATTGAGTCTCTACCCAAAGATGAAACATCAGCATTATAACCAAGCAGTTGGAAACTTCTGGAAGCTACATGCTACAAAGAATACTTCATCTGAGTTTGTTAAAGGAAGGATCAGTAAAGAGTAACTTACTGATGGACGTCAGGATGGGTACTTCTTCCATTTCTCAAGTGTAAGTACGTGCGGTTAAAGTTGTTGCCTCGTTGACTCTAGCTTGCAAATGTATTTAGTTGTGATTTGTTACTTGTAACCGCGTGTACTGTATCAGGTTAACTGGATATATTATCTTATCGCGTGCAAAGTCACGTTAAAAACGCTACGCGTGCTGTTTGTTTATGGAGCTCCGTGCTAGAGTTCTGCTCCCGCGATTTATTCGGAAATTTATTCCCGCGCCGCAGAAATCTGGCGCGGGGAGAGAGAGAGAGAGAGCGAACGAACGAACGAGCTTTGTGTACTTTGTGCTGTGTGTGTGTTTTTATACAGACTTTATACAGACAGCTTGGCTGTCTGGACTGTATACTGGGTGATATTTGGTTGTGTTCTCCGCTCTAGCGGGACCGGGCGCGGCGGGCAGAAAACGGAGCGGGTTCTCAGGCTAAAACCTGGCGGGTGCGGGCTGAAGCGGGAGCGTTGTCATCCGGAGGTGTGTGTGTGTTTTTGTGTGTGTGTGGTATGGCGAGTACACGACTGTCTCCTTCGTTCGGTTATCCGTGGCACTATCCACTCGCCATAGTGTGGCAGCTAAAGTCCACGCATACACTATCGAGCGTGTATGAACTGTGATTACTTTTTAAATTGCTGATTAGCTATTGGCCATTTCCCTCTCTGACTGAAGGCAGTCGACCAATCGCGACAGACTGTCATCGGTCCAATCAACGCAGATTAGCTCCGCGCTAAGGAGGGGTTTGGGAACAAATGAATCACTGGATGATTCATACGGGAGTCGCTGGGATAATTAGGTAAAAATAAATGCAGATTATAAGACCATGAAAGTGTTTTTTGACCTTGCATGCATATTAGACTGTTGTTGGAGACCCTTACAACCAAGATATGACCTTATTTCATGTATAATATGGGCTCTTTAAACATTTTGTTGACTTATACTTCACATATCAAACTTTTATATATTTATATAAATGTATATATTTTTGATGTATATACGTCTAAATATTATTTGTATTTGGGTTTTGTTTGGTACTGATATTTTTTATCTTTTGCTTATATTTTGACCGTATATTGGTGAAACTAGAACACTGTATATCTTTTGCACTGAACATTATTTTTAGGGATGTCCAGATCAGGTTTTCTTGTCCTCAAGTCTGAGTACGAGTCATTTGATTTTGAGTATCTACCGATACCGAAACCCAATCCGATACTTCTATAATACATAAAAAAAATAAAAATAAAGAAGAGTGAAGAATCAGATCCAGGATGGAGTCAATCCATTGTGCGGCAAGGTTTAGTACAGACATGGGAGCTACGGACGAACTCCAGGTGTCTGTGGTGAGCGTAATATGGAGTACATCTTATACCAGGACAAGTAGTTTGTCAGAAATCTTCTTCTAAAGTAGTGGCGAGTTGGCATTTTAAATCGAGGTTCTACATTTGTTTTTGAGGTGTCTTATCAGGTTTGTTGTGTTAAATGTAGTGTTTTCCTTTCCACCTCTTGCAATAGCAAGTATACATATCACACAGTTTGCTATGGCAATGTTGTCTTCATCAACTTTATAATACCTCCAGATCGTAGACATACTCGCGCTTTCCGTTTCAAGCTGCTTCCGTCTTCTACTTTGTCGCCATTTAACCAATAGCGTCTCTGTAACCAAGTGATGTCATGCCGCACACGTTGCTATTTCTGTGTGAAGTCAAGAATGAGGTCTAACTCTGTGCCACCTTATAACTTTAGATGTGTTTAAAAAATAATGAGAATATAAATATAGATTTGAGTCCTGATCGGGAGGTAATGTCCGATTCCGATCGAGTCTAAAAGCACGTGATTGGGCCCGATTTCCGATCACAAGATCAAATCTGGACATCCCTAATTAATTAATAAATACCACCTTCTTTTTACACTTCCGGTTCAGATCATTGACTATTATTGCTAACTTTTTTGGTGTCAGGTCTTTCATGTCTCGTGGTGGACCTGCTCCGGGTTCGCTACATCACATTTAGGATCACTCATATTGGGAACCCCCCACAAACACAAGGAACAACACTCATTCCCAAAATGACACGTTGAATGATAGTGAAGCAGTGTTTGTGTGCTTGTCTCACTGCGGCAGGGGCGTGACTGCCACTCCTGATCAGGACACTGAGCGATGTTTTCGGGCTCCTGCGCGATGACAGCCCTTGAACGGACCTGCACCGGCGTGAAGTCCAGACGCTGACCTTTCACACACACACTCTGACACAAGCCCCAGTCTGACCACTCCATCAGGTAACAGTCACCTGAACACAGACCAGCAGACACATGTAAAAACACCCAATAACCACACTATTGCAACCTGATAACAGCAAGAGAAACTATGATCTGACGTACAACAATTCTCTTATTTTAACAAGCTGTTGAAATAACAATGAAATGACACAAGTAAAAAATACTGAAACATATTTAATACGTTATATAAAAGGCTTTATTGGTGATGGCAGCTTAAAGACGCCTCTTATATGGAGAATGAAGTCACAGGAATTGCTCAGGTGTGAGTTTCTAACACTTCAACAGAGTGTAAAAATCTTGATGATTCTGTTTAATTTGTTTTCTCTATTGGATTGAAGTTAGGTGATTGGCCTGGCCATTCTACAGCTTGATTTTTTTCTCTGAAAGCATTTGAGAGTCTCCTTGGCTGTGTTTCGGATGATTGTCTTGCTATAATGTCCACCCTGGTTTCATCTTCATCACCCTGCTAATGTAAATGTTGGACTGAAGCAGATAATATTCATTCACAGTGAGGTGTGCAGATGATTGCTGAAGAACTACTGAAAGATTTCAGTTGCTTTCTGGGCTTCTCTGCCTTTCTACCCCTCCCTTTCTTCATGTGTTCAATACTTTTTTCCTCTCTTATTTCATTTTATTATGGATAACTTCATTTGTAAACTAATTAATATTGTTTTCTTTGCATATATGGATTTCTTGGGTTGTTACAATTGTATACATTAGAATAATAAATTAATTGGCTGAACTGGTTGATTATGTTTAATATACTATGTTGACTTTAATGTATGCGCCATACTTCCATCATACTAATGGCACGAAATCAAACAAACCCATAGGGTTGTCATGCTGTTGCTTTAGAAGAGAGATGCCCAAACTAAGGCCCATTGGCCAAAGTTGGCCAGTGGCAACCTTTGATTTGGCCCGCCCTACTATCTGAGAACAGAGGAAAAATGATTGGGATGGTTTTTGAGATTGTTTGTTTGTTTGTTTAATTGTTAAAAGCTAACTAAAAGGAAATGTTTCAATTAAATGTATGCAGGTTATCTTTAGTGAGCAACTCGAGTCAAATGCCAATTCTGCTTGATCAGCGTATTCAGCAGTGAACTCCACTGGGTTATAAGTTAATAATTTAAAAAGTTATACTGCATTAGTTAAAATGATTTAAAGTAATGTTTTATTAAGTAACAGGCCTGGATTGGCTAATCGGGAGGACCGGGAGAACTCCCGGTGGGCCGGTCCGTTTTTTTGGCCATGAGGGCCGGTGTCCCTAGCTGCTTGCACTCTCAGCAGTCACACTTTTTTTCATTTATGAAAAATTTTTCATTTATTTTTTTCAACGGCCTGCAGGTTAATGATGAGCTAACTATCATTCAACCCCAAACAGCGGCACCTTAGTGAAAATAACAATTTGAATAATTACTATTAATGAATATTACACCTGCTCAATGAAAATCAGATGATTAACTACATTATTAAATCCATAAATTTATGAATCCATTAATAAACTACAATAATATTCCAAGCATAACAGCGCCATATGTGGTCCAGTGGTCAGCACGTTGCATTACGACACACCTGAGCCCTTGTTTGAACCTCATCTAAGTAATTATTATTATTTATTTTTTACATTTTTATTATTAAGACATATAATACTGTTAGGGTTGTTGAACGTTCGAAGTTCTAAAGCAGCTGTTTTCTTGAAAAATACGTGACAGTGTCATTAGAAACTGATTTGGAAATGATGTTATTTTAATATAGTCAGTCGTGAACTGAGGTGGGCTGGTCAAGGCTTGAAACTCCAGAGCTGAAAAGGAGTCCCACTCCGGCCCTGTTAAGTAGTGTAATATTATGAAGTAAATAATAAAATTACCCATGGCAACTTTAATGTAATATACTTAGCTATATTTACCTTTGGCTTGCGGCTTTCACTAATATTTAGTTTTAGGCCCTTCATACTGTACGAAAAAGCTTGGGCATCCCTGCTTTAGAAAATCTGTCCTAGTAACAATTTGCATATACTGACACCACACAAAGATCCAAAATCGTGTGTACGGAGTCTGTTTACCAGGGCAGGGTAAGGTGCAGGTCTCCTCCAGGACAATCTTCTTATCTCCATCGACGGCCTTCTCCAGTCCAGCACAGAGCTCTTCCTCCACAATACTGCTCTTCCCGTCACTGGAGCCGTCAGACACAAAACAGGACAGATTCCGAAAGCGCACACCTACCCCGCACACCACATCCTACAACACAGACACACACACATAGTTGTAAACACTTCTTTAATCCATTGATCAGACTCAGCACTGAATTGCAGCAGGATCACAGAAAATAATAGAAGAGGAGATGAGTTTGACAGCAAAATAAAAAAAACTAAACAAAACAAGGTTTTGGAGGAGTGAAGAGCTTCAACGCGAATCTTTATAGTATTCAGAGCATGTGCCGGCATTTAGCTTCTACTCTGCTGTACAACACTGAACCGAAAAATGTGTGTGGTTCATGAGTCACGTTTTAGCTTACACACAAAAACAATAGAGCAACAGACGAGATCATACTCGTAAAAATAAGGCAATTACTGTTCATAAGAATGGGAAATTTATTCACCCATGAAGCATTTCCTTGCTCACCTTGCTGAAAAATCCAGCTTAAACCAGCCTAGGCTGGTTGGCTGGTTTTAGCTGGTCGACCGGCCTGGTTTTAGAGGAGTTTTGGCCATTTCCAGGCTGGTTTCCAGCCATTTCCAGCCTGGTCTGGAAAATGACCAGCCAAATCCAGCTAAACCAGCTTTTCCAGCCTGGTTTAAGCTGGACATAGCTGGTTTTGGCTGGACTCCCAGCTTGGCTAGGCTGGTCAAGCTGGTTTTAGCTGGTCATCTCCCAGCCTGACCAGCTAAGACCAGGCTGGAAATGGCTGGAAACCAGCCTTGAAGTGGCCAAAACCCCTCTAAAACCAGGCTGGTCGACCAGCTAAAACCAGCTAACCAGTTTAGGTTGGTTTAAGCTGGATTTTTCAGCAGGGCAGAGATAGCCAAGTTTATATAATGTTATAAATATTTTTTATTTAAAATATATGCTGTAATTTTGAACTTTCTATTGATCAACACTGTAGCGCTGCTAAAACATGTCAACAATGTTTTTAAACATGCTATTAGCATCCCAACATGTTAACAAAGTTTAGACCAAACCCCAAAACATGCTTTCAACATGTTAAATTGGGAAAGCAAAGTTCATTCTAGTGCTACCACATGATATAAATATGCTAAGTCATGCTTGCAACATGGCAAAACATGTTAACAGCATGGTGACAAACATGGTAGCACTGGTAGCAATGTGCTAAATATGATAAAGGTTTACAACATAGTGACCAACATGGTAGCACTATTAAAGCATTCAAGTGATGTTTTAAACATGCTAGTGAACTGCTAGCAGTGTTAAAACATGCTATTAAAATGTGAAAACATGCTAATATTAAAAATATGCCAACAGCATGAAAACACTTTTAAATGCTACTTGCAAAATGATGCTATGAATGGTTAATCAGAATAGCAAATTAGCATGCTAATAATATGCTAAAATAGACAGTACTAACGGCATTCTTGCAAAGTTTTAGAATAAGCTAGCAACATAAAAAAACATGCTATTAGCATTCCAACATGTTAACAGTTTAAAACATGTTAGTCAAACCCAAAAACATGCTTTCAACCTGTTGAAACGAGATAGCAAAAACATGCTAGCTCATGGTTGCAAAATAGTTAAACAAGTTAACAGCATAGTGAATAACATGGTAGCACTGTTAAAACATTCTAGCAATGTGCTAAAACATGCTAGTAACCTGCTAGCAGTATTAAAACACTATTAAAATGTGAAAAACATTCTAATAGTAAAATATGTCAATAACATGACAGCACTTTTAAATGCTAGTTCCAAAAAGATGCTAATAATGTGCTAAAACAACGAACTACATTCTTGCAAAGTTTTTGAACAAGCTAGCAATGTGAAAACATGTTAAAAACTATTCAATGAGGTAAAAGATACTAGCAATGTGATAAAACATGGTATTAAGACACTAGCAAGCCTCTTCAACATGCTTAGAATGTGCTAACCTATTCTAATTGCATGCTAGCCATGTTACGGATTCTTTTAAAATGTAATTTTTTTAAATACATAAAATACATAGAAACATGTGAAAACTATTGTCTAATAACATAAGCTAATAACATTAAATATGCCAAAAATGCTATGAATGTAAACACATTGCAACATACTGTAACAACCAAGCAGAATACCACTGCAAATGGCTAATAATATCCTACCAACACTAGCAGCCAGATAGCAATCTACACTATATGAGGTAAAACTTAAAAATATAGTAAAATAAAAATATAAATCTACATAAATATATAAATAAATATCTATAATATAGGATTATAAAAACGATAATAAAAAACTTTTGAATGCAAGTCCACATACTGCAAAAAGCACTGTGAAATTTAGATTTGACCTACCACCTTTGCAGGACTCAGTTCATCAAATTTACTTGCATATCTGTGAAGGAGTTTTGTCCCGCAGTGCACAAGTTAATAAACTCTGCTTTGTGAATTCACAAGAAGAAACTGATCTACAAGGAGAAGCAGAAATGAGAGACCTCGACGCGGCACTCAGACCACTGCCCGTACTCCCATCTGTAGCAGGGCCGAACGGGACAGGGTTTCCACTGCTCCATCTGAAAAGGACACGGCCGACCGTCACCCTGAGACGCCTGAACCACCGTCCGCTTTCTCCACATCTTCCCTGAGGAGAAACACAAACCACAGACAGATAAGAACAAGACCACTGACAGCCCAAACAATCATTCTTAGCTCTCAGCTACAAAATATGATGCGCTTAAGGCATTGATAAACACTTTATTTTTTTTAATTAAACCTTTGTTTTACCAAGTTATTGGCATTTTATTGGTACTTATGAAGTACACATTTAGCATGCTTTTATTCTATGGCTCTAATACCACTCAACAACTACCTTAATAAATAATAATTAATAGTAATTAATTCAACCCAGGCTCATTATTGATATGTATCCCTATATACTTTTCTGGAGATCATGAAATACGTCCCAGGAGCTACTTTTTCTTTCAATATTTGTTTTCACGAATCCACCAGAGGCCGCTGTGTATGCTTTTTGAGATCTAAAATTTCTCTTACGAGCGCCATTTGCACCTGCTCTTCTCCCGTAAATCCACCGGAGACTGCTGTGGACTGATTGACCAACCAACCAACTGATCCCCCAACCCACCCTTTTCCCTAAACCCAACCAACAGTGTTTTCCAAAACACAGATTGACCTGATCACCCACTTCCCTAAACCCAACCGACAGTGTTTTCCAAAACACAGATTGAACTGATCACCCACTTCCCTAAACCCAACCGACAGTGTTTTCAAAAGCAATCCAGGAAAATAAAAGCCCTTGCAGCAGACTGATTTTTATGACGTTTTTCAGATTTTACCACATATTCACCAAGTTATTTACTTCTTTTAAACATTTTTTTTATTTTGTTTCAAGTTCGTTTCAAGTTAGCCAAAGTACATGGCTAGCTATTGGGCAAACTGGTAACAGCAAAAAAGCTGTCTACACGGAGGTAAGCGGTCAGCTCAGGGGTGTCGCTAGACCCCATCTACTGGAGCACGTGCCCCAGTAAAAATCGCCAGTGCCCCAGTAAATGCTTTGAGATACGATTTACTTTATATGCAACTGTAAGTCCTGGTTTTCAACATGCATGCCAAAAAAATATCTTTTTTTGTCTGCTACACCACTGCCCAGTGACAAATTTTGTATCTTTATTTACTGTATGAGAGTATATATTTGTGAAGACATTCGGTCCCCACAACGTAAGTCTGTCAAAGATACTCACTCTAGCTCATCCCACATGCGTTTAGCATAAAACTGCACTGTCTTCTCACTCGCTCTTTTTCTCCATTATCTCTGAAGTGTTTGGCAGTCAGACTGTCAATTTCTATCTAGCACTGCTTCCATCTGTTTCTCGCTGAACACTTCAGTCTTCAAGTCCACCATTTCATCTCATATTTCAGGCCTCTAGCTTCTCTTATGCTGTCTTTTGCTCTCTTTCTGCATGCACAGATTTACAGCCATCATGCAGACCAAGCATGGTGTTAACGCCATGGTCATTGTGTTTGATGCATCTTTTTATGTATTTAGTAAGGAAATTTAATGGGAATGGATAATTTAATTTAATATGTGCTGTACATCACCAGGCTGAGACTATTCTAACATGCTCTCAAAGCATCACTGAAAAGTTTGGGATTTTTAAAAATTTTTTTATAAAAAAGTAATGGATTCATTTAGTAAGGAAGCATTCAATTACTGTTTTTTCTTGATTGCTAATACACTATCGCTGATTCAGTTGACCTAATTTTCCTCAAAAATAATTCAGTTCTCAAAACATTGACAAGCTATCATACACACCTCATACTATTATTCATACAGTTGAAGTCAGAATTATTAGCCCCCGACTGCAGCATGACTTTATTTTCTGTACTGCACATTATTTCTGCTGAGTGACAAGACTTTTGTCTAAGTTAAGTCAAACCTTACTGTCCTAATTAAATAACTGAAAATCAAGGCATGATCATATTTTATATCTGGTAAAATAAGTGTAATGTAGAGGCCTTTGCCTTTTACATCAGTCACTTCTGATACCAAATGATCTAAAACTTGGATAGGTGACAAGACTTTTGTAAATATAGTAAATAGAAATATATAATAAATATAATAATAATAATAATAAAATAATAATAAATAATGATAATATTAATACTAATACTACCAATAATAAATAATAATAATAAATAAGGTTAATAATCATAATACTAATAATAATAAATAATAATAATAAATAATAATGATGATGATAATAATAATAATAATAATAATAATAATAAATATTAATAATAGATAATGATAATAATAATACTAATAATAATAAATGCTGATGATAATAATTATAATAAATAATAATAATAATAATAATAATAATAATAATAATAATAATAATAATAATAATTAATAATGATAATAATAATACTTCTAATAGTAAATAATGATGATGATGATAATAATAATAATAATAATAAATAATAATAATAATAAATAATGATATTAATACTAATAATAAATAATGATAATAATAATAATAATAATAATAATAATAATAATAATAATAATAATAATAAAAAATAATGATACTACTACTACTAATACTAATAATAATTTTTAAATAAAGGCATACTAAAAACAATAAAAAAATCACAAAATTGTAGTCAAATTGTGCAGCACTATACAGTAGCACAATAACAACATTCCTCCCCCCCCAAATCATTGATCCCTTTTTGAGACCCTTGTCTAGAAACAGTCCAGAAACACTTTTACTACAGCAGACAGAATTTATACATTTGCCCAAACTTTGTCTTTACCTTCAAGGCCACAGGTCTGGGAACAGTCCGACCATGCAGACCATTCAGAGAGCTGACAGTTGACTGGACACTCCACTGTACAGGATGCGTTCATCTGCCACTTCTTCTCCAAACGCAGCTGTGGACGCAAATAAAAGACAGCGTTTCTTCATCATCCAGAGCAAAAAGGTGAGCGATCACTCCAAACACAGAAACATTGGAAAATCAAGAGACAGAAGTGCACATCTGCTTAACGTTTAATCATTCCCCTGAGAAGGAGGAACAGTGCAGATATTAAAGAGCTCTCAGATCTGGTTTGCGCGTTTGTCTTTGGTGTATTTCTTGGTGCTCAACACTTGAAAGGTTTGTAACTGTGTTACAGAGTGGACTGGTTGAAAACTGGGTTACAGGGTTAATATGCTGTGGATTTAACTATCGCCCCACAGGGTCCAATTAATGTGACTGAATGACAGATTTTGACTGATCTTCCTGCAGCTCTTTTCACATTAACCCACAATTTTTAAATGGAACAAAATAAGCCTGTTTCTTTCCCATTGGCTCATAAAAGCATCCTATTCTAAGAGTATCTTTTGTTTTATTACAATTTCCTTTTTTAAATACATTTTGGTGGTGTTTGCTAAGGAATATAATTGTGCACCATGTTTTTCAGGTTTAGTGTTGTAAAAATGTATACTTTTAATGAGCAAGGATTCATCAATTTGGTCAAACGTGACAGTGGATAACACATGTTATGTTCCAGCTTCTAATAGATACTGCTTTTACACATAGAAATATATCATAGATTGGAATTAAATACACATTTATAATCTTTCCAACCATAATAACACAAAATATTTACCAAAAGCATGCATATCAATCTCAACTTGGTGCTCAGCCAAACAAAAACTATGCAAATATATATGAAAAGGGGGCAACACCTTTTTGGAGCTTTTGGTCTTGCCACCTTTTCATATATATTTGTATCCGTAATAATAAGGAATGACACTTGAGCAGATAATCAGCATATCAGAATCCGCTTTTCCGTATTTTACTGGGTTTATGTGGAGTTACTGTATACAGTGCATCTGGAAAGTGTTCATAGCGCTTCACTTTTTCCACATTTTATTATGTTACAGCCTTATTCCAAAAATGGATTAAATTAATTTATTTCCTCAAACTTCTACACACAATACCCCATAATGGCATTGTGAAAAAAAGATTGTTTGAAATTTATAAAAACTAAAAAATCTGAAAAATTACATGTACAGAAGTATTCACAGCACAAACCAAGCATGAAGACAAAGGAATTGTATGTAAACCTCAGAGACAGGATTGTCTCGAGGCACAAGGCTGGGGAAGGTTACAGAAAAATTTCTACAGCTCTGAAAGTTCCAGTGAGCACAGTGACCTCCATCATCTGCAAGTGAAAGATGTTTTGTACCACCAGTACAAACATTTTTGAAAAAAGTTTTGTACCAACTCTTCCTAGAGCTGGCCGGCCATCTGAGTGATCAGGGGGAGAAGGGCCTTAGTCAGGGAGGTGATCAATAACCTGATGGTCACTCTGTCTGAGCTTCAGCATTCTTCTGTGGAGAGAGGAGAACCTTACAGAGGGACAACCATCTGTGCAGTAATCCACCAATCAGGCCTGTATGGTAGACTGGCCAGATGGAAGCCAATCCCCGCCTGGAATTTGCCAAAGGCATCTGTAGGACTCTCAGACCATAAGAAACTAAATTCTCTGGTGTGATGACACTTAAGCCTGCTTTATACTTCTGCGTCAGGTGACCGGCGTAACCCATGGCGCATGCAACGCGCGTGGCTTTGCATTATTTTGCATTATTTACACCAGTGAGGTGTAAATGTTCCTCTGTGTCGAGTTTCTTTGCTGCTTTTTTGCTTTTCCTGAACACTTCCGGGATGTACAAGTGGCTCAAACTCGCTCATTTTGAGGCAGGGACCGGCGGACGTGCAACAACTTTAACTATGAGGTAAACACAAAACAAAACTTTCCATCCGGAGCTCCTTCACGGTACTTCACACTTGTAAACAATAGCTCGCGCCATTCACGCGGCTCTCGGTCCCGCCCAGACTCGTCAGTGCTACCAAGCCGACCAATCACAGAGCTTGCGCTATGCGTTTTTGCGACGTGTAGTTACATTTTTTGAGAGGTGCACGTCAGTGACGGCCACGACGAAGGGCTATGCGTCAGCGCCGTAGCGCCGGCGTTTGACACAGAAGTATAAATCAGCCTTAAAACTGAACTCTTTGGAGTGAATGCCAGACGTCACGTTTGGAGAAAACCAGGCACCACTCATCACCAAGCTAATAGCATCCCTACAGTGAAGCATGGTGGTGGCAGCATCATGCTGTGGGAATGTTTTTCTGCAGCAGGAACTGGAAGACTAGTCCGGATAGAGGGAAAGATGAATGCAGCAATGTACAGAGACATCCTGAATGAAAACCTGCTTCAGAGTGCTCTTGACCTCAGATTGGGGTGACAGCTCATCTTTCAGCAGCACAATAACCCAAAGCACACCGCCCAAATATCAATAGAGTGGCTTCACAACAACTTGGTGAATGTCCTTGAGTGGCCCAGCCAGAGCCCAGACCTATTTTGAACATCTCTAGAGAGAAATGGCTGTACACCGTCGCTTCTCATCCAACCTGATAGAGCTTGTGAGGTACTGCAAAGAGGAATGGGCAAAAACCTCTACCATTTTCAAAAAAATGCATTGAATGTGTTAACTAGCAACATTAGAAGTTGAGAAATGCAATCCAAAAAAGTTTTTCTGGGTGGGGAAGTACCAGGGTTAATAATCAGTAATCTCCCAGTGTCTGCAGTACAGATAGACAAGAGTGTGTAAATGAAAGCACAAACCTCTTTGCAATACTTCAGGTCAACGGATTTTCCGTCACTTCTAACGCAGTCCAGCATCCTCGTCTTGAGGCCAATTCCACACACAGCGTTGGCACTTAATTGGCATGTGCTCCAGTCTGAGTGAAAACACATGCAGATACACACATTGATTTTCTCATCTTGGTGAGGACATAACATACAGTTGTTGAAGTCAAACACAAACAGGTCCACACACAAAGACATACAGACACACACACACAGACATTCAGACACACACACACAAGCACATGGGCAAACACACAGGCATGTACACAGATGTATACAGGCACACAGGGATGCACACAGACCCAAACAGGCACACACGGACACTCAGACAGACAGAGATTTCAGCCTGTGGGTTCTCATTTAAGCACATGTGTGGGTCAGAGGTGGTCTGCGGATGCTTTGAGCGCTGTCAGGACGCTGTCGGAGGGGAATCATGAATGAAGTGTGAGCAGATGGAGGAAGCAGATCCAGTAATGATCCAAACTGCTGAATGACTCATTCACACACTCAAAACAGCAAGAGAAAGAAGTGCTTTGCGGGTAAAAACACAGGCTCAGAAACAGCAGGCACCACAGGGAAGGACAAAAGTGACTGAATTCACGAGGCATTTTCCTTCTGTACTGGGATACTTCAAAGAGAATCACGGTGGTCTTTGAAGAAAAAAACATGCATTGATCTATTGTGTATTTGATGACTCATCGGTTTCACATCAGCTTCAGAAAAAAAAGCAAATGATTTAATTGTTAAGCACAGTTTTTTATGACGTAGGACCAGTTCTCAGCTTCACCTAGTTGATTGTTAGCTTGCGTTTGGCTGTTAGCACTTATGATAGTAATGTTAGTAACATTATTTTTTTTTAGTACTTCTTAAATTTTTATTTAGAATGATCATCAACAACAATCATTTTTGTATTATTAAGCCTTTTGCTACCAACATTTATTTGTATTGTTTTTATTTAATAATTTAATAATTCTTATAATTATTATTATTATTGATAACAGCTATCTTAGCAATTATTTCAGGTATATTTTTTTATATGTAATGAATGAATGAATAAATAAATAAATAAATAAATTATTGTGAATAAATAAAAGTGAATTAATAAATTAATAATCTAATATATAATAATAATAATAATAATAATAATAATAATAACAACAATAATAATAATAATAATATAAGCAATACAAAAATCCAAAAAAACAACACAACAACATGGTATCAGTAACAGCATCCTTTACTATAATAATAATTATTAATACTATATATATATATATCTATCAGAGGTCATGTTAACCAAATATTTTCCATCATTGACAGATTTTTTTCAGCAGTGACGGAAAAATCTGAAAGTGATCCATCATTTATACGGATTATGCTGAGGGTGATCTATTGTAATTTGTTGCTAACTTTAATTCCCACTCCTGTCCAGCTGATGGCGATTGCCCTTGTTTTGTCTCCTCTTTGTCACTGTGTGCGTACAGTTGCATTTGTCAAATAGCCTAAATAAATGAATAATTTAGCCTATATGCCCGTCGTGCAAGTTCATTATTAAAATATGAATGAAAAAAGCGATTAGAAAATATGCAAATTAAATGACCATCAATAATAGGTTATGACGGAATTTTTTCAACCCTCTCCGTCAAAATGACAGACAATGAGAAAGTCTAATGCGACCTCTGATATATATATGTATATATATATATGTGCAATATACTGCAATAATGGCACTCATACAGCTTCCTCATCCTTTTGTAATACTACGCCTACACAGAGTGAAAACAGATAAATAAACTCACTACAGTTTGACAAATACTGCTGCTGTTGAACAACAATGTACTTTTGAGGCTTTTTTTTAGGTGAGAATGTAGTTGTTTAGATTGCAACTATGCAGTTTTTTTATAAGGATAGTGCCTATTTTAAATATTTATAATTTTGGAGATACAGATTGCCGGCATCCATCAGACTGTCATACTTAGAGCAGAGCAAAGACGGTTGAGGTTTCGCCACAAGATGGCGACAGAGATCTCATAATAAGCACTTAGAGGAGAAAAACTCAGCGTAATTTCAAACAATAGCTGATCAAATCATTATAAAACTGATAAGTGACACTCTAAGTCGATCTCTCTCTTTTGTATGTTGTAGTGCTGTACTTACACCATAGTAATCTGGTAGTGCTTCCTTTACTTTGGCTTTTTCAAGGTTAAGTATTGTGATATCCCAATTGCAACAGAGAAATACTGGGATATGTCTCTAGACTGATGGCATTTCATGCTGTTCAGTCTTATAATCTTAAAATGTGAGCAAAAGCACCTGTTTTGTCATCACAAGATGACAGAAAGCCACTGGTGGGACACTAAGAACCAATCCCAAATCTACCCCTTAGCCCTTCCCCTTACCCCTCATTTTGCACGCTCATATGAAGTAAGAGATTGTGACATATGATGATGTGTGCAGGTGTAATAGTGCTGTCCCATTTCTTAGGGGTAAATTTTGAAGCCCTTCCCCTTCACACTCTGTTTCAAGGGCCAAGGGGTAGGGGTACAAAAATAGAATTGGGATTGGGCCTAAGGCACTCAATCTGCGGCCTCATGCCAACCCACGCCTTCCACCAGTGCCGATATACAGCCATATCGCACTGCTAACAACAATAACTATCATCAATATTATCATTATTATTATTGTTATTTTTATTATTATTATTTTAATCATTATATGACCATCTTGATGATAACAGACATCTTAGCATTTCTTAGTTTTTATTTAGAAATTATTATTATTATTATTACTGATATTATTATTATTATTATTTATTATTATTTTTTTTTTATTTTTTTATTATTATTATATGACCATCTTAATGATAACAGTAATCTTAACATTTCTTAGTTTTTATTTAAAAATTATTATTATTATTATTATTATTATTACTATTATTATCATTATTATTTTTATTATTATTATATGACCATCTTGATGATAACAGACATCTTAACATTTCTTAGTTTTTATTTAGAAATTATTATTTTTATTATTATTATATAGCCCTCTTGATGATGACAGACATCTTAACATTTCTTAGTTTTTATTGAGAAATTATTATTATTATTATTATTATTATTATTATTATTATCATCACTACTACTATTATTATTATTATTATTATTATTATTACTACTACTACTACTATTATTATTATTATTATTATATAGCCATCTTGATGATGACAGACATCTTAACATTTCTTAGTTTTTATTGAGAAATTATTATTATTATTATTATTATTATTATTACTATTATTATTATTATTATTATTATTGTTGTTATTATTATTATTATTTTTGTTATTATATGACCATCTTGATGATAAAAGACATCTTAACATTTTTTTTATTTATTTAGTTTTTATTTAGAAATTATTATTATTATTACTATTATTATTATATGACCATCTTGATGATAACAGACATCTTAACATTTCTTAGTTTTTATTTAGAAATTATTATTATTATTATTATTATTATTATTATTATTATATAGCCATCTTGATGATGACAGACATCTTAATATTTCTTAGTTTTTATTGAGAAATTATTATTATTATTATTATTATTATTATTATTATTATTATTATTATTATTACTATTATTATTATTATTATTATTATTATTATTATTATTATTATTATTATTATTATCATATAGCCATTTTGATGATAACAGACATCTTAACATTTCTTAGTTTTTATTTAGAAATGATTATAATTATTATTACTATTATTATTATTGTTATTATATGTTAGTAATAGTAGAAGTGGGTGTAGTTTACCAACTCTATATGTAATTACAAAATTGCACAACCACAAAAATGTGTCCCACAGCAAACACAGAATTCAAAACTGATCCTAACTGATGTATTGTTTTGTGGTGATGCTCACCAGTGATATTGTAGCTGTAGTGGAAGCAGTTGCGGTTGAGCAGGCAGGGCTCGGTCTGCATGCTGACAGGACAGTCCTCTCCCTCTTTAGGCAAACGCAGAGCGAACGCCGTCCTCTCCCGATCTCCTCTTCCAGTGCACGGCTTTAACAGGAGCACAAAACACACTAGGCTTTTACTGAGCCCGTAATTCTCTTATGTTTCTCCTCAAGCTGCTCTTTTACTGTTTAACAAGAGCCTTTAAATGACCTGCTCTGGTTTTTTATGTCTGCTGGCTCTCGCTGAGGTCATTTCATGTCAGGGTAAAATGACGTCCCTGTTGGCCTAACCTAAAAATGATACTGCTCTGATGTTTCTTAGCAGGTGTTTTACTGAGATATAAAAGACACATCTTAGATGCACAAAACAATTATAACAGGCAAAAATAAGATAATGGCATCAGGGTTGTTATTTATATTTACTAAAACTAAAACTATTATGAAACAAAGATTCAAATAATGCTAAAATATAATAATATTTTAAAAGCATACCTAATATAGGTAAAAAATCCTTTATTCTTCTCAAGACTGGATGCATTACAGCTGCTAGTATGATACTACGTAACTGGAAGTGTCCCAGAATGCCAGCAATGAAGGAGTGGATTAATAGGATGATTGAAATTGCATCATATGAGTGTATGCTCGGGAGATTGAACAATGAGGGAGAAGTACATAGAAATTGGGATAATCTTTGGCAACATCTAAAATTAGGATAGATGAGTATGTACATTCAAAGGCACCACAACCTTAATTTCCATATATGTTTGCTATACATTGTTATTCTTTGTTGAATTTTCTTGGTGTACGTGGCTGAATATGTAACATGTATAATATGTATGTGTAGGGTGAAGTGTGTTCTTTGTTCCTGGCTGTTGAACAATAAAAAAAAGTTGAATTACAAAAAATATATATACATGTATATATATATTTTAACAGTAAATATATGAAATGGAAAATATTAAATTGCTACATTATTAGTCTTTATTTTAGTCAGTTGCCAAGGCAGCATTTAACAGTTTAAAAACAGAAATAAACATCTACACTACCTGGCAAAAGTCTTGTCACCTATCCAAGTTTAATGAGAACAGTAAAGTCTCTGCAATGACTCAAATAGCTTATGAATAAAGTCATCAAGAATGACAAAGAAAGCATTCTTGCAGGACTCCCAGAGTTCTTCAAGATTCGTTGGATTCATCTAATGCCTACTCATCTTACCCCAGACATGCTCAATAATGTTTATATCTGGTGACTGGACTGGCCAATCCTAGAGCACCATGACCTTCTTTGCTTTCAGGAGCTTTGATGTGGAGGCTGAAGTATGAGGAGCGCTATCCTGCTGAAGAATTTGCCCCCTCCTGTGTAAAGTAATGGGCAGCACAAATGTCTTGATATCTCAGGCTGTTGATGTTGCCATCTACTCTGCAGATCTCTTGCACACCCCCATACTGAATGTAACCACAAGCCATGATTTTTCCTTCACCAATTTTGACTGATTTCTCTGAGAATCTTGGGTCCATGCAGGTTCCAATAGGTCTTCTGCAGTATTTGTGATGATTGGGATGCAGTTCAACAGATGATTCATCTGAAGAATGCACCTTCTGACATGTTCCTAATGATCAACTAGAAGTTATTATTTGCTGCTCTTACAACTGGGATCGACGACAAGACTTGCGTCAGGTAGTGTAAATAAACAAAGAATAAAGACTAAAAAGCACACAAGAAAATAATTAAAACTTAAGACCAAATAAAATAATAATAATAATAATAAATAAAAATAAATAAAAAATGGTTAAAAAAATTCTAAATACTGATTTTAATATTTAACAGTATATAAATAATACAAAATTATATATGAAACATTTTATATGAAACAATTAGACCATTTCAATTTAGTCATGTCATTGGCCCGTGGACATTTTCTGCTTGATATTAAACTATTTTAAAACTGTAACAAGAGGCAATTTAATCATCACTTAATATTAAAACAGCTATCATAACAGTATTCATCAATATGTGGCTCTTTTTGCATTCTTGGAATCTATAGAAACTAAAAAAATGTAAAACAGGAAATACGTTAGGACCATTGTTTTTGTTTACATTCCACAAAATGGTCTGTATTCTACATTTAATATAGATATTTTATTTATAATATATTATTACATTATTTCTATTTAATATATATATATATATATATATATATATATATATATATATATAATAGAAATAATTCTAAATTCTAAATAATACAATAATAAAAAATATAAACTACATGAATGCAAAATATTCATAAACATAACACAATAATGCATACATAACTCTGTCACTGAAAAACAATAGCTATATTTGTGCACTTTTATTAAATCAACAATCGCAGAATTGAAGCAATAATCATATAAAAAGATTCAGTGAATCAAAAGTTTGTGAATCAGAATTGAATGGAAAAATCTGAACTGATAACTAGCTCTAGTTCAAATCAGTGTCGATGTGCAGATCTACAAAAGTTTTTTTTTTAAATGGTCCCAGGACAAACATGGTTGTTTAATAGTTTTAAAACAACATTAATGAAAGGTTTTGATCCAATTCAAATGTTGACTACTGTTGTTGTGATCACCAGCGTTGTTGCTTTCCCAGCTAGCTGTCATTCACCTGAACTACAACTCCCATCATGCTCTGCAGTCACACACCAGTTTCAGTTTACCTTCTGAGTTCAGTTCACACACATTGAGTGCTGAGCCTTGTTTACACTGTGAACTTTACAACATGTTTACTTTGTCTTGCAGTGTTTTGACCCCTTGATTGTCTATACTACTTATTGATTGTTTGATTGTATGAATTGATTTATATTGATTGTCTCGACCCTTCCGTATGTTTCATTGTTCACTCTTTGGATTAATTGTTTGTTTTTATTTTTATTTTACTTGTTTCTTTTATTCTTGTTTATGTAAAGCACTTTGAATTGCCACTGTGTATGAAATGTGCTATATATAAATAAACTTGCCTTGTATTACTGCCTGCTGCTGTTTCGACCCTTGCCTGCCTGACAACTCTAATAAAGCTGCACTTGGATACAACCCCTGTTGTTGCTCTCCAGTTCATCACAACTGTAGTACATGCATCCAAAATCACATACTTGCATACTATATAGTACACTAAAAACAGTTTGCGAGCTGAGTAGTATGTCCGAATTCATAGTATTCGAAAAACAATATGCAAGCATTACCTGGATTACATACTACTTCAGATGAGATTCTGAAGTGTGCATCCATACGACACTGCGCTATCCCAAAATCCCACGGAATAGACATAATACTCGTATTCATACTATATAGAAGGTACGTTTCTAACGGTTGGGTAGTAAATTCAAATTCGAATGTAGTGCGTACTCGAGTAGTAGGCGATTTTGGACACAGCCTAGGAATGGTCTAAATGTATAAAGCAGTGGTCCCCAAAGGGCCGGTGTCCTGCAGATTTTAGCTCCAACCCTAATCAAACACACCTGAACAGGCTAATCAAGGTCTTACTAGGTATACTTTAAACATCCAGGCAGGTGTGTTGAGGCAAGTTGGAGCTAAACCCTGCAGGGACACCTGCCCTCCAGGACCGAGATTGGAGACCCCTGGTATAAAGGATGAATGCTGACCAGGTCACAGGAGGTCCAACGGCTCCATTCAGACAGCACACAGTCCTCTGGGCATGGCAGACGACTCTCTCTGGTTCCCGGCGGCATCTCCTCTGGGTCACACAGATAATCCTCCACAGCGTCAGCAGGACCGTCCACTGTGTTCATCATACACCTGCAGACACACACCAGTGTATGAAAATGGTCAGTGAGTTGGACTGCTAATCCAAAGGTTGCTCCAAAGGTGTATGCTCACACACTGTGTGTGCTCTCACAGTTTGTGTGCGCTTGGATGGGTTAAAGCAGAGGAGCAATTTCAAGTATGGGTAAAACCATATTTGATAAGGCTCACTTTACTTACTTTACACACCTGGATGTGCACACATACTTCAGCATCAATTTCCAGTGCAATTATGTGGAATAAATGACCAAAAATCAATCACAATAGCCCCTTTCACACTGTGGTACCTGTAAATATACGCAAAATGTCCGGAGCAACTTTACCAAGGACGTTTCGGGAATTTTTCCAGAAAAGACCGCTCGCATATCTATTACAAAACACCGGTAATTTCTGACATCATTAACCAGAAATGACCTCTAAATGGCTGCGCTTGTTATTGTAAGTATAGAAGGGGTCTGGCTTTTGTTGATGGTTTCACTCCTCTCAGGCTCAAATTAAGTTTTAGAAAACAGGAAAAATCTGATATTTGGGGAAAATTATCATATGGGGGAGTACAATAGAATCCTGACTTTTTTTTATAGAGAGAGTCTTACATGTAAGGTGTTCTGGGATGTTGCAGATTTGCAACATTGGCCCAGTGTGGTAATTAGACACTGACGACTGATTATGATATGAACAATAACTTTTTATATACAATTTTTCAAACAAAGTAACAAACTGCTTTTTTCATTGGCAGAACAACAACAAAAACAATATGAGATGCAAATTCAATATCTCAAATCCTCATTGAGTAGGTCATGTTTCCATGTCACTTTGTCATGTGGTACTCCAAGAAACAGTTTTTGTCTTTTGTGTCAGCTGGTGTGCAAGTGGGGAAACTGTTTGTTGCTAATGGACAACCAAGTCCTGCAGTGGTACTTCTGAGTAATAAAACCTCATAAAATATGTATCTGGAGTAATAAGGTAGTTAATTTTTAACTGTTGCAAATCTGCAATGCCTGCCTTGAGAGGGTTAAAGCCTTAGCATTCATGCAGCTGCTTTTGTCTCAGAGACATCCAAAAACAAAAGCCTGAACCGCAGCTAAGTGTTTGCACATTTGACTACATTACAAATTCTGTGAATGGATAAGTATTGTGAACAACTTAGATGAAATCATTTGGAGAAACACTTTCGCATGTTGAGATGTACATAATATGTGTGTGCGCGTGCACACGCGTCAAGCAACTGAAGCAGAGGTTAAAGGTAAACTCACAGTGGTTTATCATAAGCATTTTATTGATGATTATTTCCACAGTTGGCATTAAGAAAGAACATAGAAACGTTATCTGACTAACATTTAAAGGCTTTTATTTTCATAAACAGCGCGGATGTGAATGCATCTGAATGTTCTGATTGGCTGGAGTAGACGTCCCATTGCCTTTCTGGCAATTTTTACTTCTGCGTTCACATAGAGAGCAGAATTCCGGGAAATTACTGGTAATGTTACAACTTCTCTTTCAGGAAAAATGACGGTATGAATTTACCAGTATTTTCAAGAAGGGTCTGCTCACACACATTTTCCCTTTCCGAAAAATTACCGGTAAGGTCTGTATGTGTGAAAGATGCTATTGTTAGCATTCTCATTTTGTGTTTTTTTGATTCTGTATTTGTTTTCACTTGTACTAATGTTTGCCATTCTTATTTATTACTGTTTTTCTTGTTTAACTGTAGGTTGAGTACTAAATCCCCTTTGGTTAATCGCCTGGGTCTAGTCTTGACTTTGCATACACAAAATTCTTCTTTACCCCAAAATGTGTACTGAACTTGTAACTTTTTATTAATTACACTAAAATGTCTGTAAATGAACAGGTTTTCGTGTTTTATGATTCATATTTTTTATTTTTTTCTATTTATTTATGCTTTTAAATTGCATTATGACAGTGGATCTCAAAGTGGGAGTCGGGACCCCCTTGAGGGGGTTGCTTGGTGATTTCCAAAAATCTAAAAAAAAAATTAAATAAACTTTTTAAATTACCATTGTTTATCCATGACTTACAGAAGATACAAAATAGTTACATAAAAATGCAACATCCAAACAAAAAGCCATCAGCCTTTCATTTTTTCCCCCCATTGGATTGCAACCCCTGGGGTTTTAACATTAGATTAATGACAGAGCAATAGCGTCAGATGCAACAGATTAATTTTACGGCACTAGCTAAACTTTGACACCTTTACGCCACTCATGTACTTTTAAAATCAATACAGGCATGACTGAACAAGGAGGATGATATTTAAGCGGCAGTCTCCAAAATTAAACCAAGAAAAGACTTGTGATGTAACTATTGTGCCCACCATTTAGAGATCTGCATTCCCGCGGGACCCGACCAGATTTCTACAGCGCAGGAATAAATTTCCGGGTAACACTTTACAATAAGGTTCATTAGTTGATGCATTTACTAACATGAACTAATCATGAACAACACTTGTACAACATTTATTAATCATAATTGAACATTTACTAATGCATTATTAACATCCAAACTCATGCTTGTTAACATTAGTTAATGCACCGTGAGTTAACGAACTCACAATGAACAACTGTATTTTCATTAACTAACGTTTTTTAACATGAACAAATACTGTAGTAAATGTATTGTTCATTGTTTGTTCATGTTAGTAAATGCATTAAGTAACATTAACTAATGAACCTTATTGTAAAGTGTGACCAATTTCCGAATAAATCGCGGGAGGGGTCGGTAACTGGTTTAATTTTGGACGAGAGGACTCCGGACTCCTGAGCGAGCATCTGTATGTATGTTTGTGAATGTGACAGCGTGATACTGTGTTTAACTTGTTTGTAGCTGTCTGTGTGTGTGTGTGTGTGTGTGTGCGCACGAATGAGAGGTGTGTGTGTGTGTGTGTGTGTGTGTGTGTGTGTGTGTGTGTGTGTGCGTGTGCGTGTTATAGGCTGTCAGGACTCTGTATACTGTATAGCTGGGGCGGGTCACGAAGCGGGACAACAAATGCTGAATACAAGCGGGAGTGGTCGGGTTCGGGCTAAAACCTGGCGGGAGCAGGATTCTAAGTTTAGTCCCACGCAGATTTCCACCACTCATTAGTCTCATTAGGTAAGGTTAATATTAAATAATACTAAAAAATATATAGCTGTTAGACTGTTTCACTTTGTGTTGTCAATATGCTTGTGTTTATAGGCCTATTGGTTTGAGTGAGCCGTTGCGCGCAACTTTTGTATGATTATAACCACTTTCGAAAATAGTGGGGGTCTCCAGTCATTGGCATTGTTGTTTTTGGGGTCACGGGCTGAAAAGTTTGAGAACCCTGCATTATGGGACCTTGATCTTTCTTCCAACAACTTTTAAGCTTGAAAAGTTTGAACTTTTCTAAACATTTTTAATAGTTTCAAGTGAAATATTGTCCGGGTTGGGGTTGTGAATTATGGTACAGAAACCTTGTAATAAACAGCCAGTACATTGTCTGGTATTTTACAGACTTATTCCTCTATATTTTATTTCTTATACATGATATTATTTCTAAAATGTCAATGAAAGTCACTTTGTTAAACTGTAGAGTTGAATTTTCAACGTTAAAAGTCAACAAAGCAAAGATCATGGTCCCATAATGCAATTTACAACCAAAAATAAACAGAAAACACTTGAGAAAAAACAAAATCTGTTCTTTAACAGATATTTTTAACAGTGTATTTCTCATATTTTATAAAAAAAATAAATAAATAAATAAATAAATAAATAAATAAATAAATAAATATATATATATATATATATCAAACAAATTGATAATGTGAGAAATTGTAAAATATTAAAAATATTATTTTGATGATGGACACTCACCTGACTCTCCTGGTCTGAACACCTTCTCCGCAATTCTCCTTCAGGTCCACATTACTCACTTTCCACACACTCCAGGGTTCAGACACCCACACATACTGACTGCAGTCACTGACGCACGGCACAACCTCATATACCTTAAAACAATACAAATAAATAAAATAAATAATCAATTCATTAATTTAATCGACATATATAGCGGAACAAAAATTTTTTACAAAATATCTGAAAATGAATACAAATTAAGCAAATAAACAAAACTAAATACAAAACAGAAGACAGAAAAGGACACACAAATAAAATAGATTCAAATAAAATAATCAAATGCTATGTTAATTCAATTAACTATAAATAAACAACAAAGTAAAATCAAAACAAAATAATATACAAAAAATACCTACAAACGACTGAATGACAAACAGATAACAAACTAAAAAACAAACATATTATTAATAATAACACTGATTTAAATTAACTGTCTTATCTCTAAGCTAGCATAACAGATGTATGGTTGATATGATCCTTTTTTAATGCTAGCTTTATATCTATAGTCTGGAAAAAGCCCTATAAAATAAAAAAATAAGAAAACAACAACAACAACAACAACAAAATATTAGTTGTTGACAAAATATTAGTTGTCAACAAAAATATAGTTTGTTATTCCAATGCTTCAAAAATAGTAATGGCACACCAAAGCAAATCATATTCACAGACAAACACAACCACACAAAATCTGTGAGTGTAATGTAAAGGTCCACCCAAAAATGAAAAGTATGTCATCATTTACACTTGTTTAAAATCTGTTTGAATCTCTTTCTTCTACTGAACACAAAAGAAGATATCTGAAGATGTCGTAGCCATTGACTTCCATAGTATTTTTGTTCCTACTATGGATGTCAGTGGCTGCTGATTGCCAGCATTCTTCAAATATCAAGTCAAGTTAAGCTTTATTGTCATTAATGTGTTGACAAAGTGGAATGAAATGTCTCGGCTAAAGACATGACATAAATAAACAATCATAATTATGAACACAACACTGGACGTAAGAGCTATTTTAAACCAATACATAACATACCGATGAGGTAATCTCACTATACTAAGTACTTCCTATACATACACTATAAATACTTAATTATACACATAACCTAAGACAAACTAAATCCTTTTACATAAGACAGAACGGTATTGTGCAAGGTATTGTGCTATTTAAGATTGAAGAAACAAGTAATGCAACATGATTGTGTGGTTCATTCACAAGTATACATTGTTTTCCCTTTTCAATCCTTGTAAGATGGAGTTTAAGTAAAGTGTGTGGTGCATATGGAGAGAAATTTGTTTCTACAGGTGGTTTGTCAAGCCCACTCACCTGTGTGAGGCACACTTCAAAAATGCACAATGTTTTTATTGAGATATGGAGTGATTGTAAGAAAATGTCTGTACTATCTTCTTACAGAAATTTATTTATTTAAATACAATGTGAAATATCTCTCTCCACTACACTTCCTAATCTGCAATTGCCTCTCTGAATATCACACTAACTGTACCAAAAAAAAAAAAAAAAAAAAAAAACTAATACTACTAATACTTCCCTTCTTAGACTTTACAGACCTGAAACTTGCCTATAGCACTTATTCATTGTTGCTCTTAGTTGTGAAAATTGCTTCCTTGTCCTCATTTGTAAGTCGCTTTGGATAAAAGCGTCTGCTAAATGACTAAATGTAAATGTAAATATCTTGTTTAGTGTTCCTAAGAAAGGCATTTATGAACGTTTAAAACTCTTTCAGTGGGATTAAATGACGAGGGAATGTTCATTTTTGGGTGAACTATCCCTTTAAACCAACTCTAGATTGTAAAATCTAAAAAAAAAAGAAATGTAATTGAAGAGAAGAAAGTGTTGTTACCTGTGCCTGTGGCCGAGCAGCATTTATTGGAGAGAAAAATACCATTAAAACATCTGCGTCTGGAGACCAAAAGCAGCACAAAACATCACCTTCACTTCACACTGCACTTAATCTCAGCATTAAATACAGCTCGCAAAACTACAAATGCCGACTGAAAAGAAATAAGCCAACAAAAGAGATAAAGCATAGTTATAGTTTGATAGCTTCAAATTCTGTGCAAGAAAAACGATATGATCCTGATAATGTTAATAAATAATAGGATTTTTAATATGAAGTTCAAATCCAAGAACAGCAATTTGTCGAAAGTAAAACATCCCAGAAAGACTTTGATGCAACTCAAAAAGACAAGCATTTCTGAATCATTTGAGGTTCACTTTTTAACCTATTTTTGGATCTTCAGAGGCATCATTTCCAGAAGTAAACTTTGAAGTATGCTTTGAAGAAGAGTGAACTGTCTATGTAGGCAGTATTTTAAGGTTGTATAGGTGCACCCGTATGCCTTGAGAAATGATTTATCAGCACCTCGTCTGCAAAGATACCTGCTTTTCTACAATTTGTAAAGCAGCGCATCATGTATCAGTTTATTTTTGCATTGCAGTACATACACTTCATACAATATGTGGAATTAAGCAAGAGAAAAGGTTTGATCATTTATTTATTAAAAACTAGCAATAAAGTGGTTTAATAAAACAAATACTGTTAAGCATAATCATGCACAGAAGAAAATTACTATAAAACTGTAAGTTACAATTACATTACAAAACTGTCTATTTAATTTTTTTAATGTTATATTTTCATTTGACCTATTATTTTCTGAGTTTCTGAGTGTGTTATCTTCATTCATTTCCCTGGCAACTAGCTGAAATAAATTAAGTAAAACGATTTTTGAGGGGATATTTATACAACTGTAGACAACATTTATGTAAGTTTGAGTACCAAAAAAAAAAAAAAAAGACTTTTATGAAACTACACAACCTTAGTGTTAATTAACTGTATTAACCCAGAATTAAATACTAAAGTTTAAACAACAAAACAAAACTAGAATCTAGAGATATAAAATATTATAGTTAAAATATATTTCTTTGTAAATTAAACTCTATATAATCAAATGATAATAAAAACTAAAATACTCTTAATAATCTTAAAAAAGCCTTAATAATGCCAATGAAGAACCATTTTGTTTCCACACAGAACCGATAAGTTCAACAGTTCTTAAAAGAATTGTTTTGTAGTGCATGAAAAAATCTAATATAAAAACATTTAAAAATAGATTTAAAAATGTAATTAAATAAAATTAATTCAAATTAAATTCAAATAAAATTAAATTCAAATTAAGTAAAATGAAATGAATTGAAATTTAATTATTAAATTAAATTCTAAGAAATTCCAATGAATTAAATTCAAACAAAATAAGATAAAACAAAATAACACAAAAACAAACAAAACCAAACAACAAATCAAAACAAAACAAAAAACCAAACCAAAACAAACATACAAAAAATCCAAACCAAACCCAAAACAAAACAAAAAAACAAAAAAACAAACAAAAACTGAAAAACCCAAACCAAAAAAATAAACCAAGCCCCCCCCCCCAAAAAAACAAAAAAAAAAAACAAAACAAAAAAACAACAAAACCAAAACAAGCAAAAACAACAAACAAACAAATCCAAAACCACAAAACAAACCAACCCAATTCAAACCAAAACAAAAAAACAAACCAAACCAAAACACTCAAAAACTTTAATAATACATTTAGGCATATGGAAGGGGAATGTTTACCTGGTTCAGGTGGTCCAGTTTTGGGCAGGGTCTTCCTCCGTTGTAAGGCTTTTCTCTGAGCCATTTTGAGCGAACTTTAACACCACTGCCACAGGATTTACTGCAGCGTGACCAGTTTGACCATTCACTCAGTTTACAGTCAGAAGGACAGGGAACAATGCAGGCCTCCTCGATATACCCTGAAAAACAAATTCCAAATGGTCAACTCACAAAAGCTTTTCGTTTTTGAATATTACATTAGCAGTGTGTAATGTAGCTGGTTGTTAATATAAAATGTCTACAAGGTTTCAAGGATTAAATTAATGGATGCCTGCCCGAAATGTTTTTTTTTTTTTTTTTTAAGTGCACAAGAACAGCAAATACACTCATGGGCCATTTTATTAGGTACACCTGTCCAACTCAATCAGCCAATCACATGGCAGCAACTCAATGCATTTAGACATGGTCAAGACAATCTGTTGCAGTTCAAACTGAGCATCAGAGTGGGGAAGGTGATTTAAGTGACTTTGAATATTGAGTTCACTGTACTCAAATGGCCTCCACAGTCACCAGATCTCAATCCAATAGAGCATCTTTGGGATTCACTTTTGGGAGATTTGCATCATGGATGTGCATCCAACAAATTTTGCAGCAATTGTGTGATGCTATCAAGTCAATATGGAAAATCCCTGAGGAATATTTCCAGTACCTTGTTGAATCTATGCCACAAAGGATTTTGGCAGTTCTAAAGGCAAAAGGGGGTCCGACTCGGTACTAGTAAGTTAAATAAATGATTTAAATCCATTTTGGAATAAGGCTGTAACATAAAAAATGGAAAAAATGACGAACTATCAATACTTTCCAGACATACTGTATACTACAAGTGTTGATAAAGCTGAAATTCAAATATGATCATTGGTGATTGGTTTCTGACAGGCACTGTAAGTGGTCGGCCAATCACAACAGACTTGACCATTTTACCAATCAGAGTAAAGTCGGCTCTTAGGGTGCTTTCACACTAGCACTTTTTGGCCGCACCCGGATTCGTTTGACGTCATAGTACGGTACGTTTAGCTAGTGTGAACGTGTCTTTTGAACACGGGTGCGCACCCGTAACCCGTACCCGAGTCTGCCTGAAAGAGGTGGTCAGGGGTACAGTTCATGCGAACTCAGTTACGGTTCACTTAAATAACGGAAATAACGGAAGTGAATCGCCAACAGTACAACAACGTAATGTTCAATAACCTTCGTTTGTGTGTGTGTGTGTGTGTGTCACGTATTGTACCTTGGTGACAAGCGGTACTTAGCCAGGGCAAACACAGTGATAATTTCTGCTTGTCTCCTCCAAAAACAGCTTCTGCAGACACTGTGTGATGTTCTGAATGTTTATAATACTTTTGTGGTAGATAGACGTGAGTCACTTTCTTTATGTCCAGAACCAAAAGATTCAGTAAAAGCAGAATAACCGCGATGTGCGGACGTCTTTCCATTTCGGCACTTTGCTTTCATGGCCTTCACCTAGCAACAGCCGTAAACAAAACAGCAGCTCGATGACGCAAGCGTACCTTGGTTTAGAAGGAAAAAAGACAGTGTGAACAAAACAACCGAGAAGGTGGCAAGGAGGGACAATCGAATTTGGGTAAGGTCTGGGCAATTGAACCAAGTGTAAAAAAAAAAAAAAGAAAGGTGGGTCTTAAAGAGACCAGATCCTTGAACCAACCATTTCAGACACTGAAAGAAGAGTTGATGCTGCATTGGATATTATGACAAAATGCAAGTGTTTTTTGATCTAAGACAGATGTAATCAATTTAAAAGACTAAAAATTATGGACCATACTATGCATAGGAACAGTGCTTAATTTGTGAATTGTGAGTTCCCAGAACAGATCGGAGTAACGGATCCTTCATGTTACCCAAGGATGGAGAGGTGTCGCACACCAAAATGGAAAACCAGGGTTGGGTGGGGATTTTTTTGGCGGTGTATGGCAGTGTATGGCGTATGGCGTATGGAGTGTGTATCCAGCATGTTCCGGCACAAATTAAGCCCTGCATAACCATTGAGGTTCTCTTCATTCATTCTTTCATTTATTCTTGCATTCATTCGTTGGTTCTTTCATTTATTCAATATCAAGCACATTAAAAAAAACAACCAGGGTTGAACAAAGTGTTTTACATCTGATAGATACAAAAATAAAATGTATTATTCTAAGAACACATCCACAAACATATACTCAAATAAATAGATTAGTCTCCCATACTTTAGTTTTAACTTGATCTCCAAACTTGAATGTGGAGAGCAATGACACATTCATATTGATACGGGTAAATTAAGTAATTAAAATATTAAGTAATTTAATTTTACAGGTAAATTAAATAGATTAAAGTAAGAATATCTTTTTGTAACAGTGACAAAAGTCTTGTTTAGGAACAACAAATAATTCCTTGACTTCTAGTTGATCATTTGGTATCAGAAGTGGCTTATATGATGGGCAAAGGCCTCTAGATTACGCTTATTTTGCTAAAATAAAATGGACATGCCTTGATTTTTAATTAATTAATAAGGACAATAAGGTCTGACTTTGCTAAGACAAAAGTCTTGTCACTTAACAGAAATCATGTACAGAACAAATATTGTGCATGACTCCCATGAGCTTAGAATACTACATCCATACATCTCTGCAATGACTCAAATAGCTTATTAATAAAGTCATCTGGAACGACAAAGAAAGCGTTCTTGCAGGACTCCCAGAGTTCATCAAGATTCTTTGGATTCATCTTCATTGCCTCCTCCATCTTACCCCAGACATACTCCATAAAGTTCACCTCAGGTGACTGGGCACCTTGACCTCCTTTGCTTTTTGGAGCTTTGATGTGGAGGCTGAAGTATGAGAAGGAGCGCTATCCTGCTAAAGAATTTGCCCTCAATGTAATGGGCAGCACAAATGTCTTGATACCTCAGGCTGTTGATGTTGCCATCCACTCTGCAGATCTCTTGCATGCCCCCATACAGAATGTAACCCCAAACCATGATTTTTCCATTACTAATCTTGACGGATTTCTGTGAGAATCTTGGGTCTTTGTGGGTTCCACTCGGTCTTCTGCAGTATTTGTGATGAATGTGATAAGTCATCGAAAAAAAAAAATTGAACTTCTGCCACTTTTCCAAATGATCAACTAAAAGTCATGTTATTATTTATTGCTCTTATAACTGCGATCCACAACAAGACTTTCGTCAGGTAGTGTAAACTCAATTCCAAGAAAAAAAAGACAGAATTACAAAACTGAAAGTCAGATTTGTCAGAAACAAACTATTTTACTCAGAATTGTGAGATATAAATGGAAAAGTTGCAGGACAATGACAATTACAATTAATGGCAATTTATATGTAATAGTGTATATCAAAAAAATTAATGTATAAAACAAATCCAACTGTTTGATGACTTTATATAAACCATGTAAAACCAATTACCATCAGAGGCTGGTCTTAACAAGGTTTTCCTGCAGGTTAATGATACGTTTAACAGACCTGCTGTTTTCAAGTGATTTAAATCTTGATTAAGAAGAAAAGCAAGTTTGTACCTTGCAGAGAACATTACGAGGGGCATAACAAGCAACTGCTATAAATAGAGATGTTTTGAGACTCAGTAGAGTGTGTTTGTGGGGAGTGTGCTGCAGGGTCAGAGAATGGGATCTACTGTATGATTTAGCAGCTGATTCTGAATGTTATTACTGCCTGTGTGCTGCCTACTCATTTGGCTCAAGAGGATCAGCCTTTTTCCAAGTACATACTGTACCACACACACAAACACACATACTCCCTTTCAAGAGCAGCCAACTCTCCTCTCAGAACAAGCCCAATGTAAATCCATGCTTCCAAAAAACTAATTCATTCATCTTCCTTCGGCTTAGTCCATTTATTAATCAGTGGTTGCCAAAGCGGAATGAACCACCAACAATTCAAGCATATGTTTTACACAGCAGATGCCCTTCCAGCTGCAACCCAGTACTGGGAAACACACTCATACACTTATTCACATACACTACGGACAATTTAGTTTATTCAATTCACCTATAGCTCATGTCTTTGGACTGTGGGGGAAACCAAAGCTTGTGGGGGAAACCAACGCCAACACGAGGAGAACATCCAAACTCCACATAGAAATGCCAAATGGCTATGCCGTGACTTAAATCAAAACCTTTTTGCAGTGAGATGACAGCGCTAAGCACTGAGCCACCATTCCACCTCCAAGAAACTAATATAATTCAAATTTAGGATACTTCCAGTTCTGGATGCTGATTGGTTGATAGGGCATTATGAATGACTGAAAACACATGAATTAAAAACAGGGTGTCAAACATATGTTCAGTACATCACTGCACAACACGGAGTAAGATTATTAGGCTCAGCTTGCATGATGTATAAAATATTTAGAGCACATGATTTGAATGAATTTGCTTAAAATAATGTGGTAATGGCCTAATATTTAGTTTAGTTTAGTTTATTTGTTTACAGGGTCAATGCACATTAATAAACATTACTGTAAAATGTGCCAGTATTAGCCAAGAATGGCTATTTTTCATTTGTAGACCCCTTACAGAATGTTAAAAAAATATTTTAATTACAGTATGTATTAACCGTGTTGGTAATTATGCTTCATATATGCAGTTGAAGTCAGAAATATTAGCCCTCCTTAATTATAAGTTGCCCCTGTATATTTTTCCCCAACAGGGAAAAGATTTTTTCAACACATTTCTAAACATAATAGTTTTAATAACTCAATTTTAATAACTTATTTTATTTTAACTTAATTTATTTTATCTTTGCCTTTATGAGAGGACATAATATTTGACTGGTTGTTTTTCAAGATACTAGCATTCAGCTTAAAGCAACATTTTAAGGCTGAACTAGGTTAATTAGGGTAATTAGGCAAGTCATTGTATAACAGTGTTTTGTTCTGTAGACAATCTAAAAAAAATGACCTTAATAATATTAACCTAAATATGTTTTTAAAGATTAATATCTGCTTTCATTCTAGCCAAAATTAGATTAATGAAGGGACTAAGCCGAAAAGGAAGTAAATGAATATATACATTAAAAATGTTATAGGAAATACTGTGAAAAATTCCTTGCCCTATTAAATAAAGTACAACATGGCTGTATATCAGCACTGGTGGGAGACGTGTGTCATGATCGGTGACG